ACCAGTTGGAAAGCTGAAAGTGAGGGAGGAAAAAATACGCACAAGTTCCTAACTTCTTCAGCACACCTCTAACACCTTGCATGTGGAAATATTTGACCGGCCCTTCACATTCCTTTCTGTCTCTTTCAGGTTGCTGCAGAACTGGCCGCAGAAAAGGAAATGGCTTTGCAGAAAGAAGCCCAAAAGGGGAATAAAGGAAAAGAAGGGAAGGAAAAAATGAAAGGAAAAAACCCACAGAAAACTGGAAAGAACGTAAGGCATCCTGCAGTAAAAGCAGTTAGTTTATGAGAACAGAGCTAAAGTCCAGCCTATTCAGCCATGTGTGGGGCAGAGGCTGTAAATTTACATTAGACTGGTCCACCAAGGCTTCAGGCTTGGATTCAGAAATCAGAAGAGCTGGCTGAGGCCGGTCCCTCATAGCCTTTCAATAACCTTGATGATTCTGTGGAACTGAATTTCACCTCTCAATATTTAGGAATGGTCATTTGCGTAGCCATGACTCAGCTCAGTGGGAAGAGCTGACGTAGGTGCAGACTGCCAGACATACAGATGAGGGGGGGAAAAAAAAAAATACACTTTAGGGCTTTGACATCATTACCAAGACAGTGCGCACACACACTTCTTAAAGCACTATTGCTTTTTTTTTTTTTGGTGTAGATAACAAAATGATGCCCAGCTATCTAACCAAGTATTTCCACTTTTAATGGGGGTACAGAGAAGTTAGTTACTGCCACCCCCTCGCACAGCTAGGAAACGGGAACCTAAGTCTCACTTAGATACACACCTCAGAGGTTATGAAAATTTCAAACTAATTTAGAAGTGCAGTTCTGTATTGGCCAGCTGCGTCTTTTGTATTGCAGGCCAGTATTTCGTAAGCCTGTAAATAGCAGTCATGCATTTTCAGTCCACGTTCTCAGAGTATGAACTATTTTTTGCTTCAAGTCACAATGGACACCACTTAGTGTATAATATACTCCCTGAAATCTTTGATATACTAAGGGGCTGGTTTCACACAAGGTATGCTTCCAAATTCTTTCAGGAGCAACTTCACTGAGGAAAACACCTGTGAAACAGTGCAGCGACCAAAGGGCATCTTCAAAAGCAAGCTACACGACAAAAATCGTAGGCTTTTGCTGAAGCAGCAACTTTTGTTTCTCATTTACTTTATAGCATAAACAAAGTTGAAAATTTTTTTTAGTAAGGGTCATTAATCTCTCACCAAGTATGTGGAGGAGAAGGGTGAGTTTCTAGGGCAAAGCTTACTCTTCACTGCAAGTTTTACACAAATTAATTTTAAGTCCTAACCTTAGAACAACCATATAACAAAAAAATATGCTTTTCTTGGACAACATCCATTAATCTGACCAAAGCTCTCGTAACAGCTAGCCAGGAACCTAAAGTACATGAACTTAGGAAGCATCAGTCTATCTAATTGGGAGGTAGATATCCAAGTGTTAACTTGTAACTTAGATAGCATCTTCCCTAATTGAAAACACTATTTAAGTCATACGAAACAATGTTTGGGGCTTTAGGGTTGGGTTTTTTCCCTTTGTAAAAATGCACAGCAGGCTGAAGGAGCAGCATATATAAAAGTGTTTTCCAAGCTCTTTAAGCCTGTTCTTGTGTTGCTAACTAGGAAGGGCAGTGGCTGCTCCTGTGCAAACAGCAATTTTTTTTTAAGTTCTTGTCATACATGTCTTCAGATAGTCATATTTGTCATCAATGCACTCTGTGATAGTGTCTCCCTATCACAGCATTAGTGAAGGCATCGTACTCCAAGCAGTGAAAGGCAATTAGTGGTACAACTTCATAGTATCTTAGTGGCAGAGCAGAGCCAGCCTCGGGGAGCAACAGTGGAAAAGGAGTGTAATATGCCTGCAGATCTAAGCCAAATAATACTGGTACCAAGTTGGTGTTTGTCCATAAGATTTCTGATGACTTTCACTAGTGCCGTGTTCAGCCCTGTGGGACCACGTCATGGTGTGACTCCTTAAATCAGCACATACGCTGGAGAAGTCAATGGGAAAGATCAGATAAAAGTACACGTACGAAGGCAATAGCTTAGAAAAGCTTTTGAAATTAGAGACTTCAAAGACCATTGTCACTCACAGTTAAGAGCCCTATAGCATCTCAGCCAGGGCGGTTCCTTTCGGAAGCATTCATGAGGGTGTCCCCTTAATGGCTTTCTGTAGCTTTGCCTTTGTCCTCACTCCTTCCCAACTCAGCTGGCCCAGAACAAACCCCTGCCATACCTCTGGTCTCACATAGGCTATGAAAAAAGGCTGTTCCAGACACTTCAGTCTAAGTCAAAGTGGGATGCTAATGTTCAGGCACACTGAAAATGCCAAACCCAACCTAAGATTCTGGAACTGGATGGCAACTTGCTCATCTGCTTAAAAACCTGACTTTCACAGGATAAATTTCATCTCTTGTTGGTTTTGCACATTTCACTAGGTAAGAGCTAACACCACCAAAAATTAATCTCAATCCCCTCACAGTCTCTCCAAGGTGGTTTTGGAATGGGGTGAAATAACAATATAGAGCTCTGGGGCTTTATAACTTCATGTCATTCTCATCTCTTCAGCCATCACAAGTCCTGTCAAGTAAAATTCTGAGCCATTATAGCAGGTTCTCTATGGTTCATTGAGAAAGAACAAAGGGAACATTCTCTCCAAGGTTGTAATAATGACAGGGAAAAAAATAGTATCTAAGATCAGTTGAGAAGTATTTGGAAAAGTTCTAACAGCAGGACTCTTATTAAAATAAGTATAGGCTATAAGTCATAGCGATGCAGGCAGAAAAAAGCCCTGCTCCTAACTTCAGTTCTTAAAGAAAACAAGAGTTTGATCCCAGAAGGAAATTTAAATATTTCTGAAAAGCCTGATAGCAATCTTTAAAAAGGTGTATTTGATATCAAAGTAACTTTGTTTTCTTTACTCTGTAAGGTGCTGATTTGATTTCCCATTGGGCACCTAAAAAAAAAAACCAAAACCAAACAACCCACAAACACACACAGCACCGCAAACCCACAACTTCAACACCCTATGATCCCTCTTTTCAATAGCAGAACACGTGTTAGACCGGTCTGGACTGCTTCACCCAGTACCATGCTACAACCTGTCTGTCTCAAACACAAGCAAGACCGCACATCCCTCGATTTCATCTAGAAATGTTTAACAGAGCGACACATTTTGTCCTTAGCGAAACCCATTAGCAAGATCTCCACAATGGAGTCAATTCAAAATTTCCCCTGCTATTGAACGAGAATCACCTAGTGTGGGCTAGGCTTTGGAAAGGTTCAGAACTATATTCAAACTGTTATTTCCATATCTCTGCTTAGATTGAAACATATATTGTTGGTTCAAGGTGCCTTAGCACACTTAACACAGAACAAGCGTGGAATCAATCAACTGAACATAAAAAAAATACATGAACTGACTTCAAAGGAAAAGAAGTTCTTTATATCACGTTGGCTCGTACGCTGTTAATAGAGGCAAGAGGGAATACAGAATGGCATTCTACAACTGTCCTTCAGATGCAGAGTGGTTTTGATTAAAATCAATGAAACTGACACAACAACATTATTTACATCAGCATATAAAATCATTGAAGCTAGTAATTAAAATGATTTATTGGCTTATTTGTAACAATAAAAGAAACATTATTGTGTCCTATGCTATTAAGAGGCTAAAAATGAATCACCCATTTTTAGGCTGGTTTGGGGGGGAATTTTATTTTAAATAGTTAGCAATTATCAGTATTTCTTCTTAGAACATCATGTTTTAATCATTTGCTATAAAATATCATGAAAACATGTAAAAAGAATGGATTCTGCCTACTGCAAAAGATCCACAGATGAATCTGAAAACACCACACCCTGCAAAAACTGAGAACACATTAGAGTAACTGGGAATTTGAGCTCTGGGTGTCAAACCCTCAAACACTTGCTTATATTTTACCCAAATGGTTCTTGATGTTTAGTCAAGAAATTCCTGAATCTCTTTCAAATAGATCTATAGACCATAGGGTCGAAGTGATAAATATATTTAGGTTTTGCATGTCCTTCCGGGCCCAAACTTTAATTACTGTAATAACGCTTTAATTAAAAACATATTAAATAATTCACATGACCTGGCTGCAGCTGTATCTACTGATAGCAGGTATGCAATGACAGCTAGAGGCACATATATAGGGGGGTTGTTTCATTTTACTTATTCCGAAAAAATACACTTTATGTCTTACCGATAACCAATGGTTTACAGACTACACATTGATTAGCAAAGTCCAATACAACTTGCATTGTCTTGCATAAATCCACATTCACCTCCTCCCCAAACGGTGACCTGATTTCCTCACTAGTAACTATTACCTCAAAACATTTTGAGGACTTATGACTGATAGAACATGAAGAAATTCCATCATTTTCTGACAAGTTTTTCCATCAGGAATACTGGTTCAATGAAATTAAACTATTTCAGGAACATGTCAAGGTGATTTACTTTAGAGGAAAACGTCAAAATGTTTTGATAAAGTTGAAACAAAATATTTTGTTTTGCAAGGTACACCAAGATCACTATTTTTCTTTCTGATTACAGATCAAAATGAGGTTTCAACAGTTTTGAATTACCCACAAAGTTGGGAATTCCTTTCTGGGGGGAGGGAACAGCCCTACAATAAGATTAACTAGAAAAAAAAAGCAAGGTAATTTCATTTACATGTTGTAAGTCTCCCAACTGTGTTACACCTTCAAACAAGCCAAAGTTTAATTCTTGTGACCTCAGTAGGTCAACTGATGAACAGACACCCCCTTTCTTCTATCAATAGGATAAAGCTTCCTTATAGCCTGCTAGAAGGATTTTTGTTGATGAGACAACAGCATCTTATTCCTCAATTTAAAACAAATCTTTAAAAATCCAATGAAAATTACATTTTTTCATACTCGCAAAGTTTCTACATCTTAATATTCTGATTTTTCTTTTTATCCCACCTCCCTAATCTAGGAAGAGGAGGAAGGCTGGAAGATGGCTCCCAGTAATTTCCTTTCAATACTGGAGGAAGGAAGCAATCAATACAAAGGTCAGTAGAAAAAAAAAAACAACAATTACAGTTGAAATGTCCTTCTAGTTTACCTTCATCTGAATATCATTCCTATAAGGTCAAACAGTGCAGCTGCCCAAACTATGGAACATTATAGAAGTGAGGACATTAGATTAAAAAAAATGGTATTTAGGAAGGGAGTCTCAGTACCTCAAGTCTTCTTTGGAGTCTCTCAAAATCATCAAGCTAATCATTCAGGAAGGTACAATTCTATATGAGTGAAAGTGGCCAAGCTAGAACCAAAGTGCTTTGGTGTTCATGCAGGGGCTTTCTTGGATTTTCCAAGGGCAACAAAATGACAACTGAATAGCAAATGGTTCAAAAGCACTATTCTGTAGATCAGACTTCAGCATCAATGTTTTCAATGCTCCTGTAACTCTTCATCCTGTCTTCTTCTCATTCGTGGAAGGGGTCCGTGGACTTGTTCACGTACACAATCTACAGCTAGTCAAATTGGTTTTGATGACATGTTTTAATAGGAGAATCATCTTTTCATGCAAAGGCATGAAAAATGTTCCTGGACTATGAATATACTTGCTTCACGCAAAGTGTGCACAACTTAAATATAACTCAGACTTACAGCTAGGAGACCGGCTGGTTTTTTCACACTGAAAAAGCTGCCCAAAGTAAGGTTTTCTCAATTAAAAAAAAGAGATTTTCACAAAAGGACATCTTGCTCTTTTCCAAATCTCGGTCCTCTCCTCTATACTTGATGCCTTTGTCTCAAACACTTGTCTTCAGTGTGCACCCTAGATACACCAGTGAGTTAGCAATCGCTTGTGCTAGGCTTCGAAGTTAGCACAGAATTTGTGCACTTGTCTGAAATAAAAAGGGGCATCTGTCCCATAAACTATATGTGAACATCACGATAGGACTCCAAAGGTCAAACAGGCCAAATTGAAGTCCTTGGTCATACAGTGTGCCTGACCAAAGCTTTCAGGGTTATTTTCGCTATGCTTCTTGCAAATTCTATTCTCAATCAATTATTTAAAATATCTTTTCTGCTCCCCACTCTGCAGAGTTCATGGCTTGCTAAAATTCCTCATATGAAGAGTCTCCATTAACCCCTCCTGCTGACAAGTTACTGGCATCAAGTTTTCTGCCTGATTTGGGTTGGCTAGGGAGAAAGAAGTGTACAACTTACTTGTTAAATATACATCGGTACAGTTTTGCCTGATCTCTGACTTCTAACAATTAGGATTTTCTTACATGTTATAAATCATAAAGCAGTTTTACGGCTAGAGAGGAATTCTTTGTCCCAGACTCTACTCTTGAATGCTACATCAGAACCCCATTGAAGTCAGCAGGAGTTTTGGATAAGGATCAAACCCATCTATGCTTCTTACCTTAACTGGCCAAGAACATTATGTGTGCTTTTCTACGTGCTCAGGACAAAACGACACCTTGCTACTCAAAACCAGCAATAGCAAGGGCAGTGTTCCCCCCCCATCCCGCAAGACCCAAGAGCAATGAAGGAGCAGTGTAGAGGTCCTACCTGTTGCAAAGCAGCAACAAGAGGGCAGTAGGGTTTTGCATTGCTAAGTAGATTTAGCAATACATTTATCCAGCACTCTGCTGACACATAGGTGATACAGTAGCTGTGCTTTCCAGTGCTCCTTGGATCCCCTGCTGAGGCTTTGCAGTCTAACAGGCTTCAATACAATGCTGAACTGCAAATTCACAAACTCCTTGTATTGGTGCAAATAACTCTCCTCCAGGTTGTAGAAAACATGTTTGGCTGTAACCTCAACACAGACTTTAAACAGTGCTTCCCAACATGGCAGTAGATACCAGCGTTAGGAATAAAGACACCACAGAGGTCAATATGTTAGTTTGATAGGAACAGAGACTCCCAAATTTCACAACTATCTCAAGTAATAACAAGTCAGAGGATGTACAAGAGGATGGGGGAGATGTTTGTCACCCAAACTGCATCTGAACACCAGAACTGCCATTCCAACAAGATACCTGCTTTGAGCTCTGCAAGTATGTAACTTTTGAGGGTTACTCATGCTAACTTTTTACAGACAGATGAGTGCTGAATTGGGGGTGTTGTGTTCCTGTATCTCTCACAAGTCCTCCTAAGGGCAACTCAGCAGCCTATTAACTATGTGTGGCGCCTGTGTTCCTATTCAGGCACCCGAATTGGATACCTAAAGCCGGTCAGCATGAGTACCTCCATCTTCCCGTTATATACTGGCAGCACTTGCAGGTACACTGCAGTAACGTGCTCAGGTAGGTCAGGCACAGGCAGCATCCTTTTTGTGGTAAAGACTCCAGCCTGGCATTCAGAGTTAAACACCGATGCTCACCTCCAGGCCATCCTGCCAGAGCTGACAGCTACTCCTCTAGCTCCAAAGGCACATAAGAAGGAACCATTTTCTGCACAAAGCACAACCAGAAATCCTCAGAGTGGAAAGAGCTCTCTTGCAAGCTTCAAAGAATAGCTGCGGTTCTGTCTTATGCACAGTAAGAGTCTATAGCTCTTCAGTTAAACTTCAGGTGGTGGTGGTTTTTTTTTCCCTCCTTGTGAACCAAGTCTATTTGACACCATACTTATTTTTAGTACACAGCTGTTAATTCCTCCATGCAGCACAATCCCCTGCCTCATTCAGAAGCACTTAAGTGTTTTTTTTATTGCAGAACACTATCACAATACTACATGGCTGTGGTTCAGAACAATTTTACTTTTAGTCTGGCCGTGGATTAGGTTCCTTTTTCAAGGCCTCCAGAATCAAATCTGGAGCAACTTCTGACCAGAACAGTGTAAGCCATTTCTTATGTTTTTAATTTTAGCCTGCTTTCATTTCAGGAGCAGAATTGTTTAGAAAAAAAGACGTTTGGAGTTTGGTCTTTCTAGAATGGGAACTTTTTTTGCTATTCTTATGCAGAAATAGCTCGGTTACTATCACAATTTGCACAGAAGTTCAAATTTATTAGTGCATAAATCTTGAAAACATCATTGAAGTAAGGGATTAAGAAAGTCTTATATCAGATGCCTACAATGGAATCATTTAGAGACCCTTATGACTGTGTCTAAAGTTTACCTAAATGACAGCTGACCAAACAACAAGCATTTTTGTTTTGTCACACTCACACCTCCACAACACTTACAATTAAGAAAGTCTTCCCATCCCCTGAAACTGGTTGCTTTGTTCTTAGGTTACTTAAATATTTAAAAAGACGTAGATCCATTTTGACAAAGATCTACGCATTTCAGTTAGACTTTTCCACCCTGATTTTTTTTCTCTCCTCTACCAAGCTAGAACTACTACCTAAACTTCACTGGAATTCGTGAAAACTTTTGTTCTTCTAGAACAGTATTTGGCAGTTTTGCTAGTTGCTAAACTACATTTGCCAAGCTCTATCTAAACCACTTATTTTATATACTGTTGTTGGAAACTGCCAGTTTGTGTGACATCTACTTTTACATTGGAATAGCAGGAGTTTATGTGGAGCCAGTGTAAGCAGTCTGAATCGTTACCTCCATCTTCCCGGGGTTTATTTTTGCAGTACCCTGTGCTATGAGGCAGCAGTGTGCTATTTCCCCCATTACACAGATGGCCAGTTGATATTTATGACTTGCTCAGTGTTGCAGAGGATATTTGAGTTCAACCCAAATACTCCATAGCCCAAATTTTAAGGTATGACGACATTATATATTTTTAGCCAGGCATCAGAAGATTCAAATCCTTTTGCCAGGAGGTTGGAACGTAGTCATTTTAAGAAAAGCTTTATGCTTCGGATAAATACGTTTCAATTATTAGTCACAAGCAGTTCTCTGAAATTCAGGGATGTTGGAATTACCTGCTAGTCTGCAGAGTGAAAACTACTGCTGAGATCATGTTAGCCGTTGCTAAGCCTAGTGGACTGGGCTGTGTTTTAAGTCCTGACCTAGAGAAGTATGCATATAAAATAATTCAAAGATAAGCATGCACTGTTTTAGAAGAGGTGATATAAATTGCACTGCTTACACACAAAAATAGCTCCCATAGCTGGATGACCCTGTCTGTAATAAAATACCAGGCTCTTTTGACCAGCCAGTGAAAACATAGCATCCTTAGCCTCCTGACCTTACTTTAAAAATAACTTTGAAACATTTTGTTGATCTATAAAAGAACAACATAGCATCTAACACCTATGAGTTATTGATTGCTTTTCTAAAATTAGGGATCTCTAACCTATAGTGGCTAATACTGCACTAGGAAAACTCATTGCCAGGTAATATCGGAGGCAGCTGCCTAATCTGTGGGGACTGTCACTGCTTTACCTGCAGTGGATCTTAACTACTAAATCAATTTACAAAATGACAATAAACAATTATGAAAAAACCCCCACAAAATAAAAATCTATGGATCCCTCTATGAAAAATAAATATCTAAAATGTAGTACTCCTGTGAAAACATAGCACTTGCAACCTGTTGACCCAGTCAGGAAAGCCTTTAAAAATTCACATAACTCCCATGTAGCATCCCCTTTCCCCAAGGCTGAAATTCCAGACTAGTAACCCTGGAGGAGGTACCTTTTAACTAGGGCAAATCAGCTTTCCCTCTTGAAATATTACGTGACATCTGTCATGTCATCTGATGACCTGCAAGTAATTTAAAGAAATTAATGTCTATACCTTTGAGTTTCTTTCCTCATTACCAAAAAATCCACTGTCCTTCTCCATCTCTACCATTTTCAGTTATGAAATTAAGACTAATCACCTGCAAAAACTATTCCCTATGTGTAAAGCCACAAATACTCTGCACATAATTGGACTCTGAAAATTCGTAGGGGATGGAAATAGCAGCCAGTATTATATTAACTGGACTAAAACTTGAATGATCTCCTATGGGTACTGTGAAAACCTTCCTGAATTTATAGTGCCTTAGAAACAGCAGTGGGTACAGGAAAGAGTACCCTGTACAAGACAGATTCATAAAGGAGCCTGTCTTAAAGTGGAGAGCTGTCATTTTAAATCATCTGGAAATTGAATTAGCACATACTGCTGGAGATTAGCTGTCATTTATAAAGGCACTATCGGGGCTTGAAATGCAAGATATGAATTGTCTTCCTTCAAATTAGCTCAAAAAAAAAATGTAGAAAGAGAGGTGTTTCCATTAAAAAAAAAAAGATACCTTTTGCTAATAACAGAGCATTCAGATACACAACAAGCTCGCCAGACTTCATTTAGTTTTCTTCCTAAAGAACAAATCTGGATTTGCCTCAACAAAAATAAAGAACTGCACCTCAGGATCATTAGCTACTTTATCATTAACAGGGGTGGGGTTTTTTTTATCATCAGTTTGCACACACTTCCTTCGTTCCTGGAGTTAGAGCTCCTTATTACTTATCCTTTGCACATCACTAAGAAATAGAGGTGCGATATCAGGTGGGCCTGTCTCTTTTTGGAAGAGATTTCAACTACCTCTCAATTACTGCATCAAGCTGAAGACTCCCCGGACAAAGTTAAAACTCTGCGTGGCCATACGTCACTTGTGGGTTGGCTGCAGGTTATTACTCTGTCAGACTCTCTGTCCCCTCTCACTCCCATTTCCATGTGCTCAGTACAAGCTTTTATGCCTGTTCCAGTGCTCCTGGCCCATATTTCAGCCTCACATGAATTAGTACAAAGGCTAACTCGCAACATTGCAGCAGCTTTAACTTCACATTAGATAACTGAGTGGGAGAGAACAAGGAAACTTTCTGGTTTAAATTAAACACCTTCCTTTGATGCCCAAGCCTGCATTATGCCAGCCAAGAGACACATATAGAGAACACGCTCCTCAGGACAGGAATCATCTCTGTGACTTCTTCATGGTAAAAAATTAAACACTATGCTATTAAACAGAAAAAGAATGCCAACACCAGGCACGATATGGTTCGGCCGATACTGTACTACCTGCTCTTGAAGATGAACAACACTCCAGGCATTCAGCTTTACAACCTCCAAATCCCATTATCCTCCTGAAGCCTGATACCAATTTACAGCCCAAGGCAAAAAAAAGTTAACCTCCAGATTTACAGATCCTAACACAACAGGGCTCTGAACTTGGTAAGCGTCCCTAGAGCCTACTACTATCATACAGCTAATAATTTAATAAAAGCTGCCTACAGCTACCTATTTTTTGCCTCCAGAAGCAGTTGGAGAAACCAGTGGCTCCTGTAACTTTTTTCCCCTCCTTTTTTTCTTTCTTTTGGATAACAGCCGTTTGGCAGAACAGAGACAAGGGATGGGATTTTCTCCAGGATCATGACCCGGAGCTGATCAAAGAAGAGAAATGGGAAGAAATAGAGGAAGAGATCAGAGTGCAGGTGTGCTTACAATAGTAAGAGGACACTAATAATGTGCATTGCCTGTGTGTATTTCTCTACAGCTGTAAGAACTGGCCCTGGCATAGACCTTACCTCTTTCCAGAGTCCCTACTGTCTGTTCTTTTCTTTAACACTTGTTTAGCTGAATGTTTGTCTGAGCTTTGGTGGCAGAACAGAAGACTCTGAAAGGTTCAACTGTGTTTGTCTGGATAGGTTGATGAATCGATGAGACAGAAACTGGAGAATCTCAAACTGGCTGTGGATGGAGAGAGGAGTGACAAACAGAAAAAAGAAAGAAAAAGTGAAAAGGTAAGAGCAGCAAGTTGGGAGAATTCAGGGTAAATCTCAATCCTCTGCCCAGATACAGCAGTATTCAGTGCAAACCCTAGTCTCACAGATACCAATATCAAAATATCCACCCTAAACATTTACTGAATCTCAAGTCAGAAGCATTTAAAAATCTGTGGCTTTTTTCAGAGCCTTTTCCTTTAGATATTATTATTCCTTAACCTTTATAAATATTGCTTGGGACAGGTTGAACTATCCCAGAGATAAATCATGATAAGACAGATCACATTTTCAAGAGTGACACACACCCTCTTCAAATCCTCCGATCCAGTCAAACAGGAAAATCCAAGCAATCCTTTCTCTTTAAGGTCACAGGATCAGATTAATGCAGTCTTCCAAGGAAGGCATGGATCTGGGTGCCAGGAAGTTTTCCAGCTGCTGGCTGTTTTCCTTCTAAATGAGGACTGGTTAATGTGTTTTAAGACTGTACACCAAACAAATGCACTTTGAACATTTTGGTGTAACCTTGCATTTATCTATTACACCACATAGATCACATACAGCCAGGTACGCATTAATTATGTTACTACTTACTATTGAAGGGTTTGGGAACTTGCAATTAAGCCAAGTTTATTTAAGCATATAAAATAGGTTAAAGGCATACATTATATTTAATGTGTGTTACCCACTGAAACACAGCACACATCATGTTCACATCTAGTTTCACAACATTACCATATGCAGAATTCCACAGCTTGCGGTTCCCTGAATTCCTTACCCAAGCATTTAAACTATAGATCATGTCAGTGCAAAATAGCTCAAAGCTTACAGACCCCTACCATTCAATCAGCAGATCCACTTCAAATCCTCAGGGCAAATAGCCAACCCTCATCTCATGTTGTATTTCATTTCCATAATCCTTTTAGCATGCCAATACTTGCTGTTGCTGTACTTCTACTCAAATTATCTTTAAAAATGCTCTTTCACCTGACGAACGTGCAGGAGCAATTTAAGAATGCAAGACTGGAGTGACTCTGAAAGCTGACACCCATTGGATTGCTAAATCTGTTTCAAAAATAGGGAGGCTTAAGAAATACAGACAAAATATCACAACAATCTTCCCAGACTTGTCATGGGTAGATGCATTTAGATCAGCTGGTCAAAACTGCTTCAAAATATCACACTGGAGTTATAAACCTGTATGTTAGGGGCTGGGGGGGGGTGTTTCCCTTCAATGTAGTGTTGGAATGGGTTTAGGTGGAGGGAGGTTATTTAACTTTTGTTTTCCCAAGTTGTACCAGTAGCCTGAGAGAATGAGGGAGGGAAGAGGGGAAAGAAGTACTAATTAAGTAATACAAGTTCCTCAAAGATTTGCTCTAAAAAAAAATACATCAGTTCTCTTTTAGGGGTGGGGAACGGAGAGGGGGCTCCAGTTTTAGTCAAAATACATCTTCCCTGTGCAAAACTATTTGAAATGTCAAACTAGCATTGGCAAAGGCTTTTTCTAATTAATATTTGCATAAATATCTCAGTCCATAAACCAACAGTGTGTGCATACCTGTGCACACAGACTTCAGATCTGCTTTATGAAAGTCAGGCCTATATAACAAGAATAATACGAGCTGGAAAGTTTTGGAAACAGCTTATTAATTTGTTTTTCAGCAAAAATCCCCTAGTTCAAGGTGTGTGTTACCACGTCCCAGATCCCACGCATCTCCCCACCTCCCGCACTATGTAATGTGAAATAGCAGCAGGTTTGGGTTCTCACTGTAGCCATGACCATGTCTGGAGCACAGCGTAGAACTTTCTTTTCCCATGCCCAAAATGGGTATTCTGCAAAGAAAAGCATTCTCAGGAAGATTCAACATTCTTCAGAGAAATCAAACCTTTTTCTACACTCTGTCAGCAGGGAATGGGCAGCAAGGGTAGTTTCTTTAAGTGAACTCTTACGAGTGGAATTTGCTGTCTGAGGGCAGTTATCCCAAATTCACGATGCCCCATTTGACCATCCTCTCTGTTGTAAGGAGAGATTTCTTCTACTTCTTTGCAGGAAGACACCACAGTAGAAGTAGGACATTTTTTGTTGTCAGGGAATAGTCACTACCCAGGGGTAGATGTCCTCTGCCTTTTCAAGCGCACATTAGGGTAAGTAGTTTACAACTCTAAAAAAAATTCTATCAAGTCCATATTAAAAAAATGCAGGAAGTAATTTGAGTTTGAAATCTTGTTTGTAAGTCCCTTTTGTGGGGAATTCAAGCAAGGACGTTTTGGAATTGGACTCTAAAGGGAAAGCATAAGGAAACTAATTGCTCATCCTTCTAGTCAGTGTTTCAGATGGCTCAGGTCTTAGATAAACAAAATTTAACAGCTCCAGGCATACCAATAGGCCACTCCTTTATTTCCATGCACTGTACTTTCTAGGCTGAACTTTATCACTGACTTCCAAGCCTTCAAATACCACTTAATGCTAACAGCTGACACTTAACCCTACCAAGAATTGCTCTTATTGCCCCTGAAGATAAAGAGCCCATTTGCCACTGTTGTGGAAGAATCATCTTGGGCGGAAAGGCAAATTGCTCTTCTGATCACAAACAGGTCTCCGGACCAGGAGGCCGATCTGGAAATACCTAAGCTAATTAGATTGCCCCTAATATGGAACAAGCCACACTGCTATCATTTGAGGCACAAATCCTGCACCTCTGTCCCTGTTAAAGGCATCTCACCCCACAGATTGTCCCCGCTATTATTTGTCCTTATGGTCCAGCACTGATAGGGTATAGAGCACAAACATCCTTGTTAAGAGACATGCTGCGCTGGGCTCTGCCTGGCTCCTGATCTGATGACTGTCACAGGAGAGGGGATGAGGATACAACAGAAACAAAGGAATGTGGTTCAGAGCTCTGCTGCAAATTGCATTTTTCTTCACTAGGCATATGGCAGCTTGTCACCTGCCCAGCTGTGGATCAGCAAGCTGGGGTTGTAAGCACCTGTGTAAAAACAGGCTGAGAAAGGATTTGAAGAGAAATTGGCTTCTAGCAAGGGATATAGCATTGATGTCTAGGAAGGCTGGCAAAGAGATGTCAGATGGTTTAAGTCCCCACCCAGCGTAGAGGAGCCTGTTATGAAGCACCTGAAGTGAAAGAGAAAAGGTTAGCATTTTCCAAAGTATTTCACTTCTAAGAAGTTGGTGGCATCCTTGTGCCAGCACTTTAGTGAAATGTCATTGCTCTGAGTACATGCCTTTCTGCTGACAGCCCAAGCTTCTGATTTGAGTGGCTCAATGCAACCCACCAGCTTTACAAGTATTTCTTCCAGATGGATGCCACATACCCGACGATGGTACCCATAGGGCTTAGCAGCCAAGGGTATTTCTTTTGGGAATCTACAGCCAAGTAAACTACCACAGACCTAGCGTCTTTGAACTGGCTTTCCACTCAACATAAGAGCTGACAGATCAGGTCTCTGCAGTTACTGACCTGGAAGTTACATTTAAAAGTGCTTATCAGAGTGCTTTTTATCAAGCCCATTGTGTTGCTTTTCCTGTTCTGCTCCCCCAAGGATTTGTTTCCTATCCAACTGCAGGTAAAGCCACCCATTGCAAGTGAACACACCCGCACATACACAAAGGCATGGCCAGAATTCAGAAAAAACACAAAGAGGGGACATGGGAACATAAGCATGTAAAAGTTGCTTCTGAAATAGGCCTTGCTAGCATCTCACCACAGCTTTGGGTATTCCTTTTTGATGCAGCCAGGCAGAAGCAAAGACAACCTAAGAGGTTAACTATGGCAGTGGCTGGGACAAGAATATTGACATCAGTCTAAAGACTTGAGAAGAGCAAAGCCATAAGTCAATCAGGCCAGAAGACAGGCTGGGTCAGAACTGAGGAAAGGCTGGGTTTGAGGACAGCAATTCCCAACCCCAGTTGGATTTTTGGCAGCTGATGGGGATTAGCACCCAGAGCTCAGCCAGCTGTGGGGGCTGTAACCTCTTTGGATCCTGTAGCTAAATCCAACATGGATTACAGATCAGAGCCCCTCATTTAGCAAGAGTTTAATAATCGGTGGGAAGACCTTCATCTAGGGACTTTCAGTACAAGTATCAGAAACCGCTCCCTATATCTTGTCATTGCCAGAAAAGACTTCTCAACCCAGAGCAGATGCACACACAGTACAAATCTGCACTTGCCCAGCCTCCCATCCAAGCATCACACGTGATCCAAGGAATCCACTCAAAACACTTCATAGACTGCTGCTCATACACTGTCATTTCCCTTAAGCTACAGGAACGCTTTCCTCTCGTTACTTTTTCACAAACTTGGTGGCAGTAGCTGCGGACAGCTGATGGCAATAGGACTTGTATGGTCACAGCCAAAGGGCGATAGAAATCCTGTGCTTCCAGCATGGAACAGTTCCTTCCATGAGACATTTTTGCCTACCCTCTCCTTTCTGGTGCCAGAGACGGTCTGCTCTGGAATCTGGTCTGAAATCAGGTCTGTGTTTGCTCGTAGCAACTTCCAAGCTACTCAAAACATTTCCACCAGCCCACACAGTCAGACGAGATACCATGCTGAGCACGGAAGACAGTCTTCTGTCATTTGCCAGTAGCTAATGCAGTTCACTACGTGTGACTTATCAAAGCAGAAAATAACTGAGTAAATGGATGGCTACACAGAAGCTAGACAGACATTTCAGAGATAGAAACAAGGAGATTTACATTATAAATGATGAGCATGTTCACATTCATTAAACATTATCATTTTCTAAATAAAAGCAGTTCCCAATAAGACATTTTGGAGGAAAGCCATTGTCTACAATTCATATTTCCCTTTATCGCATCTCAGTGTTTGCCAAATTTCCCATAAATGCTGATGTTAATTAGGAAAACACATTTTTCCCCTGCATAGCTCATTTTTGTTTTGCTCTTGAGTTACTTTATTGGTGAAGCTGCCTTGAGGACAATACCAGTCGGCCAATAAATTCAACATATGCTTAGTATCTTTACATAGGTAGAAATGAGCTTTTCTTCCCAGTCAGACCCCATGATATGTAATTTCCAGCTCGTTGGAAGAAAGGTTAAAGAGACAAAGCTGGAGGAAGAGCAGAAATAAACCACTGACAGTCTCAGTATTCCCCAGTTGTTAAAACAGCATGTCATATGCTTTGGTCTTCCCATTCCTTTTCTTTAAAACGAATTCCCACTGGCACATTCTAGTGAGTATTTGCTGGCAAGCTCATTTATATAAAGAAAGCCAAGGTGTAGTTCTGCAGATACGGAGTTGTTTGCATTATTCTAATCCAAAATTTAAAAACATCACCTTTTCCCAGTTAGCTTATCCATATAGTTCTGGGTTTAGTTTACATTTTCATCTAGGTTATCTTTGTTGCGTTGTAAACAGTAACAGGTAATTGAACTGTAGGTTATTTACATTGCAACCATCCTTGAAAACTTACAATTGATGTATTTCTGAACACTGCTGATCCATTCTAGAAAAAAAACAAAAGTGTTTTCCAGGTAATTGGATAGGATTTTTTTAACTCAACAACATAGCCTCTAGAGCTCTGCAGAAATATTCACTATTAAAAAAATAAACAACTGTATTCCCAGGAAAGTGAACATAAACTTTTAGAAAGAATAAGCGGTCTTGATCAGCTAAACATTTAAGCACATGCTTAGATTTAAGCCATTGAAAAAAAATCCCATGGTGCACAAATGTCACTGGGTAAATAGTTCCACTGAAGTAGTTCTAAAGAGCTTTGCAGAACTTGGGTATGGGCACCAGTGGTGGGCACTAACATGGATTAATGATGCCCGCTCCACTACTAATTATCCCTAGCCATATTTATGGCTTGTGAGCTGTAATTAATGGAGGGCCTTGACAATACTGATTCACATCTTTCTTATTTATGTTTTCCATGGGTTTTTTGCAGTATGTAAAGAAACTAGTCACACAAGTCAAAGTCTTCCCATAGTGAAAGTGTGGTGAAAATATCAAGAGAAGAGCAGGTCATGTTTTTCTGACCTTTTCAAGTTTCTTCCCTGAAGCATTAAGAAAGAGAAGGTAGAATGACGTCTAACAGTTAGGAGGCTAGCCAGAGACTCAAGAGGGTTGGTTTCAGGTCCTGGTCCAGCTGTAAGCACCTTGCATGACCCTCAGGGAAGCTGCTCATATATTTTACCCTAATGTTACAAAAAAAAAAAGCATGAACGGTCTCTGGAGCATCTACTTGGACCCCACACCCTTTTCCTTCCTGCTTGGGTAAGGGCCATACCCACTCAACCACAGTCATGCTCCAAAAAGGAAGGAGTAGGTCTTCCAAAAAGCAAGAGCATACAATCTTTTGTATGCAACCTCCACTGGAAAGAGTAGGACCGTTCACTTTGAGGTAAGGTACACTGGGCACTCGCTGGGGAGGTGACAGTTGCAGGTCAGGTATACAGGCTCCCCAAGGGGCTGTGTTTGAGAGGGAAGCAGCAAATACCAAGTTACTTCATGCAGAGTCCAGTTCAAGAGCATCTGCATGAGACTTGTACGTTGGACACAGCTCCTCAGCCCAGGGGTGCTTCACCTCTCCCATGCCTTGGTGAGGGGCTTACAGATGGGAACGTCTCCCGTGCTTGTATAAATGGAGACATGCCTTTCCCCTCAGGGCATTCAAGGATATGATTTTTCCCTTTGGGTTCCTTCAGGAGCAAGGGCCACATTCAAACATTCGCTGTTTTAGCCCTCACTCTGCTTCAGTACACTCAAAGACATGTATCTGTACTAAGGTCACTAACTCCTGCCTGTTTTTGTGGTCCTCAGAAAAAAGAGACGACCGTGAGGAAAGAGATACCCGAGATGGAAGAAGATTTAACTCCTGACAGGTAAAGAGAGGACCTGTTTACCCGAGATTCAGACAATAAGACTGTATCCTCTTTGCATTAGATATGCTATCTAATGTTTTTAATTACACAAGGAGCACCTCAACACTGCTACACTTACCAGCATCAGAAGCCCTACAATACATAAAAGGTCTTTACTAACAGCTATAAACATCCATAAAAAGCCTAGATGATAAAAAAATTTCTTCTACAAGTTTGAAGCACATACACTTTAGCTAAAACCTTTTTTGCATTCCCAGCGAACTCTACAACCTTCCCACTGCCCCTTCCCTGACCAATGCCTTTGCAGCACCACAAATAACAGGGTAACAACACACTGCTTCAATGCTACACAGTGCAGACCTTGTTTTTCCCCACCATCTTCAGCAGTGCATACAAATCAAGATGCCCATTCTCCAACAACACACGGCACTAGGGCCAGTCTCCATTAACTTCAGTCCAGTTCATTCCGGTATGCAAAGCTAAGCACATGTAACATTTAGGCAGGATACTGGCCCCATTTGCCTCTTCCCCATCCTTTTTGCAGGTGCAGAAGCACCTGGCAGTTTTGTTGGCTGTCAGATTTTCCATCCCAGCTGAAACCTGATAAGGGAGGCTGCAGACAGGCCCCTGTACTCTATAAATCAGCCTTCATGTCTGAGGTATAATGTACGTGTCATAATTCAGTCTTATTTATCAATAAGAGTTCTGGCAGACCTGGCATTTTCTTGCATACCCTTGCTCTTTTAAGCACCCTTATTTTATCTGGAGGATTTGAGAGGATTTCTTCTTTTGACATTACGTTTTCAGTGAGCTTGTGATGCATTCACTGATAATCTGGCCATTTTTCATCTGTACACATAACACAGGTATGCCTACGCAGAGGTATCACTCTGCTGGGACCTGCTGAGCCAGCAGCAGTGCAGGACAGGAGCAGATCCAACTTCCAAAAGAGAAGGGCTGGAGAACAACATGAAGACAAACACATTCAATCACTGCAGGAGGACACACATGGGATTCGCCCCACAAATCCATTTGTACAAGACCTGCACAGCACAATCTGGACTAGATTATTTGGGTCCTAGCGCTACACAATCAGTGATCTCTTTACCTGCTTTAAAAACAAAACACCTCTCCAAGCAAATATTTAAAATAAACATGCCATGGATTATAACAGAGCACAACCTCTCTTACAAGAACAGCGCCAGAGTCTAACATAGATGCAAATATTCTGTGCTTTTAAAACTACTCTTGCACATACCTGCTTCTTTATCCATAAACTTAATACAACATACAGCCATTTAAGAACACAAGCTTTTTAATAGCTGGCTTTTAAATTAGAGTTTATGTGGCATTTTGGCTCTGTGCTTTGCTCTTAGGAAGGAGAAAGCATTTCAGAAATAACCAAGAGAAGCTTCAGGTTCATCTCTGTTTTGGGGTAGTGGAGGGGGCACAGGGGGCTTTAGTCAAAGACTGATCACATCACACTTACTTGGAGGAGACTCAGGGCATGCATCATTAAGCTTGCACAGTAAAAATAAGAAGACAGGAAAAGTAGAAGTCAGGCTCCCAGCAGAACTGTGAGGTTAGTCCCATTCTACCTTCTGCTTGTTTTATGATGCATACTCAACATAAAAATCACTGAGAATGAAAGCAAGAACCAGAGTGGCAAAATCAACGTTGTTGAAGGTGCATTAAATTTCGTATTTGCTTATTACTACTCCTATATTAATTGTGCCACTAACAGTGCATAAACATAAAACTTCCCAGCTGAAATGGAAAAAGGCTGCAAACCTCAAATTATATACGTAGTTTTATTAGCCAGCTGAGAGTTGCTATTAAATATTTTTATTGTAGCCATGTCAGAACATCCCAATTAAGATAGGTGACAAAGACAAAAAAGCTCGGTTATTGAAGGAAGAAGATGCGAAAAGTGTACAAACAGTGAAAGACCTAACCTAAAAAGGTTCAAATCAATATTTTTTATGCTGACAACACAACAAGATTTTCCAACAGGCTTGTTCATTTTATGTAATCCTTGAAGCAGCATCAATCTGTAGAACCTAGTGCCAAAAGTGTCATTGAAATTAATACTCAGATAGAAGTCCAAAGGAGAGGGTGTGGAGAACATCCACACCAACAGAAAACCAGGTACAAATTTAAGTGTATTAAATCCTCAATTTCTGGGAGCTGTTTCCAGTCACTAACAGAGATAGGAAGAAACCATTCCACTGGAAAAGTTATGCCCTGAAGTTTCCGCTGTATGTTTTTCCCTCCGATCCTCCTTTGGCCAGCGTGACCTTAACACTGCAGTAGGTGGACCTGGGGTTGCTCTGATCCAGTCATTCCCAGTATGTTGCTGACAAGATGAGACTGTCTATCGCAAACAGAATAAGTTCCAAGAAGAATTAACGAATTACTACTAATTGGAGAGCTAAGTGAATAGGTACAGTAGTGTTAGGGTTGCTATTATTGTATAATTTAAAAATAATTTCCCAGTAATTGATACTAATGAATGAGTCTATTACACAAGTCATAACTGATCTTGCATCACCTGGAAATGGGTAATGGAATCACTGTGAGAGGGAGCCACGCGGTGAGGTAATAAAAGAGATTCCTTGCCATAACGCTGAAAACGGTGCTTATTGATTTCATATTGATGGCACTAATCACCTTCACCTCTGAGCTACAAAGTATGTTTATAAAGCTGAGGAAACATAAATAACTCTCAAGCTAGTTCAGTTATTGAAAGACTGAGCTTTTACTTACAGTGCCTTAGAATTTCTGAGTGATGTCTCTTGTCCGTAGGACCATCGATTCTCTGTACAGGGAGCTAGTAGAAGAAGGATTACTAGTAAAAGCCAAGACCGTGAATCTCTCCGATTATGTTGGTAAAGTACACATTTTACAGCTCATATGGTGTTTAGTCTAACCAAACCTCCAGCCATTCAGTATTCACTGACCTCTATTTCCAGTCAAGAGTGAGTTCAAGAGTAATCACACTTTCAGGACTTTCAAACTTGAATATCTAAAGCCACGTATGCCAATCAAGCCTGTTTCTGCAGGGTGCTTAGTACCTTTCACTTCTGCCACTGAAACCAGAACCTGTTTGTAAAGCTGGTGCTTGGCTCCAAGCACTAATCCCTGAAAGCCTTGGATGGTTTTGGATGTCACAAGCCACTCTGAGGTGGAACCAGAACATCCTTTAAGTGAAAGTCTAGGGGTCATAATCCATCCAGAATATTTTCCAGAGAACAGCAAAACTCATACCTTCAGCATTTGTTCCTTCAGCAGAGAAGACTCACCCGCTTCCCTCCACCTCCCTGACTGCCCGTGAACTTTGAGCAGTGCTTTGAGACATATCTGGCCCTTGGTTTGAGTAAGATGTGTCTCTGCCTAGTTCTGCATTTCATACTCCTCTTGCCCAGTTTCTGTTACCTGCAGCTGCAGTCAGACATGCTTGCCTATGCTCTACACACAGCGGGGAAAAAAAACAACACACAACCCAAAACCACACACACTTGCAGGCTGCACAGGGGTCTGACATCATCTCCAAAAGCATTTGGTGACATACAATAAAGTCACAGCAAGCTTCACAGCAAAAAAACACCCAAGATTCAATTGTTTCAAAGGCCACTATTATTTGAATTTGCAGACATCCAAAAGCCACAATGCTACTGGCTGTTAGTACAGTATGTATCTGAGCCAGAATAGCTAGGTTCTCATACATTCTCTAAATGCCATGTTTATATGTTAAAAAAAACCCCACACTTAGAAGCACCAGTTATTGCCTCCAGAGCCTTTCCCCACTCTGTTGAAGGCTGAATTAACAAGTATTCCATCCATTTTATGCTCATTAAAGATCATGAAGTAGTAGATGATTTTCATTATTCCTTCATTCACCCAACCAGTACTATCAAGGTCACTTTTGTCCAAGAAACATCCCCTATCACAGATGTTTTTAAAGCACATCTTAGCCAGTGGATAATAATTAACAGCTGGTAATATCAAACTTGGAAAGGCCCTTAGATGGCTTTGGGCCATCTTCCCTTGACCCTGAGGTTTGAAACCTTGGCTCCTCTGCAGCATAGAGCAACAGAAGGGCTGCTCCAGGTTACACTGGCAGTATTCACTTCCCAGCAGCAGACACTGGGCAGAGACATGCAGAGCCTAGCAATATTCACCTGGCTGCCTACACCCCTGCCAGGTCCCCAACATGTCCCAGCACAGATGCTGGTTCATGCAGACCAGGCAGCAAGGAGGTGGCCCGGACTATCCAAGCTGGCTCCTTCCCCACTCCAAACTCAGTCATGCTTCTTGAGCTGCTAGAACAAGATACAGAAGGTATTTAAAGTTGGCCTAGGATCCAGACCTAGCTTCCCCCCCACCCCCTGTTTTTTTAATCCAAAAAACTCTCCCTTTAAGGGTCCGAGGACACAGGCGAAGCCTGCAGAAAAATAAGTCCTCAAGTGCTCAGCTCTTACAGGGCTGAAGTCTAAGGAAGGTCACTTACTCCCAGTTCCTAGGAAGAGGACAAAGAACGGAATTGTGCTCCACAGCAAGTAAAGACACTGAAATGTCCCCCCCCTCTATGACAAACTGACATCACTGAACTAATTTTCTTGGTGACCTTATCTAAATTAGTCAGAGAATATCCACTGTGATTTATGTTCAGTTGCAATTAAACCCTTTGATGCCTTCTAATTAAATCTGTGAAGATTAATTCCTATCCAGTTCTTTTGATTTCTCCTTAAATAAAAGATAAAACCTGAAATGAATTTTATTCTTCAGAAGGGAGGGGGCAGTTGCACCATGGCTTGTCTGCCTTTTTGCCCCCAAATTACAGCTCCACTTTCTCTCTTAACCATTGCTAATTTACCTCTGCTCCAGAGAGCTCTGGTGCTCTCACTTTATATCTCCAATTGAAAAAATAATAGTGTATTATGTTTTATAATATTCTTCATAACGACATATAACTTATGCTAAAAAAAAAATCATCAACCACATCTTCAGAACTAGTTTTCCCTGCTTGTGGCCCATCCTTCTGGATCTTTGTTCTTTAACATGTCTTGTATATGGACTTCGACAGGGCAAGCAATGTGATTATGGCTTGGTAACAAGAGCCAAGGCAAGATTAGATCCATTTCAATTCATGTTGGGAATTTTTTGTTTTCTTAGGTTGTTTTGTGGAGGTTGTTTTGTTTTTTTTTTTTGATAAAAGAGGTGAACTGCAAAGCAAAGAACCCCACCAAATTAGGTGACATGCTTAAATGTCTAACATAGCAAGAAACTGAGATGTGATGCAGCCAGGGGAAAGCTTGTTAAAATATCTTTTCCGCCTTTTTGAAATCCTTTTGGTAGAGTGTGGTTCACTGGGATTCCAGCCCTGCAAAAATCCCAAATCTAGAAATCCTTTGCCAGCAGTGTGATTTATGGTGCTACTAATGATTCTTTTCCACAAAGTTTCTTTAAAAGGTGACTCGAGACCGACTGCTCTGCTGAATGCCTTCCACACTCTGGAAGGGAAAGTCCACAGTGTGTTTAACTTCATTTTCCTTTGCAGTTCACCTTTCGAATTTCTCAGGGCCGCATTCCACAACAATATCACCCTGTTTGAGTCCCTGTCCCTTGACGGTACTGGTTTTGCCGAGAGCACATTATATTGGTATTCTATGGTAGTTTTTCATTACTTGAGTTATGCATTTTATAACAATGCAGTGTCACATTTATTAAGCCCATGCTTCCTCTCTACAGGCGAGTACAGCTATGTGGGGTCCACACTTCGTCAGTTAAATATAGAGCCAATGCCCTCTCTCGCACATGTCAGACAGCTAATAGCGCTGTATGGAATATTGCCATTAGGTAAGAGCACAGCAAAAATTACTACGGGGCAGAATACAATGGCTTTGCTTCCTGTCAGTAACACGCATTTTTACTGGCTTTGACAGGGCTTGATTAATCGTAATCTAAAGCATTTTGCAGTAAAATTGTTTTTCAATTAAGCCTTCAGAGTGAAGACCGTATCGTTTTAATAGTGCATAAAGGAGCTTGCACATGCTATTGTCAGGTATTGCATTTCCATGCCATCTCTGTTTGCATGTTAACAGTTTGTGAATGGCAGCACATAAAAGGAAATCACTTGGGAAAGATAATAGCTAAAACAAGCTCCAGTGATCAAAATTAATCAAGTTAAGGGAAGGGCTAAGGTTGCAATTTACCTTTTACAAGCTGGCTAATGTTACTCAGTACTAAACAATGCAATCATTTAAGGAATTAGTCCGAGTACATTTTGTACATCAGAAAAACCACTTTTAAATGCCCTTGCAGTTTTAATGCCAGACTTAGCCAATAGCTAACAAGGCTTTGCTGGGTCAGGTTGTTTGCTTTTAATGTAAAATCTATTCCATATTTTACTTGGGAATGGCATTAAGCCAAACTCCAGCGATTGCAAGAAATGCCTGTCTCCAGGGCCTCTACTCATACTTCACTCGCATCCTTTTCCATCCCTGATTAGATTTTGGGGAGGTTTTAACTAGGCATATCCTCCCCCAGGCTGTGTCATTGTCTGCTGAGCCCCTTTATAGGGCAAAAGAGCTGACATCTCCTCACCTCCCATTCTGGCGAATGGAGCAAAGCTGACACCGAGCTTCTGCTTTTCCCTCCCCTTCGCGACGCCTTCCAGAAAGGCCAGTGCTCAGGTTATTCCCATATGTACATGCTCTGTGGCTCTCCTCAGGTGCTTCCTGGCTTCCCCTGTCCCCAAAGCAGGCTGGACTTGCTTTAAAGACCTTGGTACAATAGTGCATAAGTCTGCTTCGTTTGGGTTTCGGGTAGAGAACGATGCTCCTGCTGCCCTACAGCTCCAGCTAAAGAGTCAGGTTAAGAAACAGGATGCTAGCAACACCCCTGCCTTCAACCTAGATTGGGATCTTCCCATCTAAACCACTCTCAGCTGGTTTGGGGTAAACCCTCAGGGGTTGACTGCAAGTTTGACCACAGTCAGCTGAGAGAGCTCAGCAGTTACCCCTGTCTGCAACGTGGTATTTTCACATATCAGGTAACTCCTCCAAAGTTATGTTTTAACACCATCTAATCTAGTGAAATCAAGCCCCAAGACACCCCTTGAGGCAGGAGGAAAGAGAACCCATAAATTTTCTGCCATTTCTAAAATTGGCAAAAATTCTAGGGACAAGAGACCTTGGGCTAGTTAAACAAACAAAAAGTATTTGCAATAGCAGTTTGAAAAATGCCTTTGAGTAAAAAAGACGACATTACATGAGCCAAAAAAAGGCATAGGAATAGTTTCACCTTTTGACTGATACATTGTGGATGATATTTTACTTAATTGGTCTCAAAACTAGTTAATCATTATATAATTGTGTATGTGTAGAAGCAAAAGTTTTTCTCAAAATAGTCAGCTGATGGCAAGGAAAGCTCCAGCTTAAATGGCATTGAGAAAATTATAAGCAGCTGAAAGGAGGAATAATAGTAGAAGATATACTTCATCTTTAACCACAGAGGAGTCTGCTGCTCCCCTCATAATAAATCTATGTGTAATAGTAATAGATTGGTATGGAACGACCAAATATTAATAAAGCCTGGGTGGCTGACAACTTTGCTACATCCTGCACAGTGCTGAAATAATGGCATTCATCTTAGCACTCAATTCATCGTCATTTGTTTGGGACATTAAACCATTGGGACACAGATAGGCAGCCTGATTGGATTTGGTTTTAAATACCATTCTTACCTAAGCTGTCCCCCTTAACCCGGAGAACTTTTCCAGACTAAGCCATAAGCTCCCTCTGCAGCCCACCAGCTTTAGAGCCAGTTTCCCCCCACTGGTCCCATAGTGTGATGAACACCCATCTCGGAGACCTTCAGAAGTAGCGGATACTCACACAGATTTTCAAATCTGACTTCATAACCACCACCACTGCTGGCACAGGACATTTTTTTAGGCGTCAAGGCAGCAACGGACAGTTACTGGACTACCAGAGGGTATGGATGCAGCATTTGACATTTCCTGCTACTTCCATCTCTGGAGGTTCACCTGTACCTAATTCATACAGTGACAGAGCTGCAGGGAAGACAAGTTCTATCACCATCAACCACCTAAATCTCTCTCTGGCTCTCTTTTCACAACACAGGCATTTCTGCTAGGCTTTCCCAGCTGATAGAACATATTTCTTACAGCCCAGAATGAATTTACCTGGAGCAGCCATAGAGACAGATTTAGAAGTGCTGAGCAGTCATTGCTGCTGGCAGAGCGAGCAAAGCACAGCAACCCTGGCATTTACTCACCCAAATAAAATGAAGGGGACAGAAAAGAATCCTCCTGCTCCTAGCAGAAATATATCAATACCGGCTCTGCAACATGCAGCTGCCGTGTTCCAGACTTGGGGAATAACATCGGCTCCTCTGCAGATGAACTAAGACCCCACTCAGCAGGTATGCTTAGAGCAGATATCAGCAGTGAAGGATTTCAGAGTACAGCTAGCCTGAGTGACAAACAGCCAGAATCTCCAATGCTCACTGAACAGCCGTAACATTTAAGAGGAAAAATTACTCCCAAAAAAGGGAGGTGTAGGCAGAAGTTAAAGGAGAGCAAATAAAACACACGGTAACATCTGGTTTCAAAATCACTGACAAACACAGCTCCAACAGCTAGTCCCATTAGTTGGTTTTCTTGAAAGATGGGAAAGGTGGAAATTGTAACTTCAGACGGTGGGGGGGGAAGGAATTCTGCTAGTCTTATGTGCCACAGGAGTGTAGAGCCTCGTCCAACTGCAGAAAGTGAGGACCTGGCTCTGGCAACAAATCAAAAGCTGAAAGCCACAGGTACATCTCTAACTCTACCTCTGCCTGACAGCTGAGGGAAGACAGTTGTCCCTGTGCAGAGCATCAGGCTTGTCTGTACACAGTCACCAGCAGCAGTTCCCTTTCAGTCCTCTTATCTTGTGTCCGTCCTCAAAAATTTGCCAATGAATTACCTTTCTTTTAGCTCACATAGATTTAGAGCTGAAATTGCCCATAAGAAGGTAGAAATAAGGGTGGTTGAGTTTTGCTACAAACAGGGATGTTAACTCAAATATGCCACGGTCGCAGCCCTGGCTGTACAGAATTGAACTCAAGAGCACTTGTGCCATATTAAGGAAACAATGAATTTGTATTATAAATTATTTACCATGAAGAAAAAAGGAAGAATGATTCCATTACCTTTATTACAGACTTAAATTAAAGCAGTAATAGTGCCATATGACTTTTTACAGGTTCCCAAACAGTCCATGAGAAGGCTCCTCTGGTGAAAGCCTTATTGCTAGCTGGACCTGCTGGTGTTGGAAAGAAAATGTTGGTCCATGCTATCTGCACAGAAACAGGAGCCAACCTCTTCAACTTATCTCCTTCCAACATTGCTGGGAAATATCCAGGCAAGAACGACCTTCAAATGATGCTTCACATGGTTCTGAAGGTACCGTGTTTTGTGTACTTCTCTACAAAGTTGGTTCAGTTCATCACATCTTTTGTGGAACAAATAGGGAATTGAAGTTCCTCCATACCGAGGAACATACACATCGGGCAAAGCTGCCCAACGTCCAGAGGACTGCCAACCCAATTTGAAATTCCCTCCCTGCTTTCAAGTTTTCAAAACCACTTGTTGACCCTCCATACTGAGGAACATACACATCAGTCATACGAGGGCAAAGCTGCCCAACGTCCAGAGGACTGCCAACCCAATTTGAAATTCCCTCCCTGCTTTCAAGTTTTCAAAACCACTTGTTGACAGCCAGTGTGTGCACTGCTGTAGATGATTTAATACCCCTTGAAAAAAAAATCACTCATAGCAGCCATATTTTTCACATTAACATTTGTGCAAGCTTTGCGTTACCTTAAATATGAAAAGCATCATAGATAAAGAAAATTCTTTTCTCCGTTTATATGCACATCGGTCAGGAATGTTTGCCATGCAGCATTTAATCAAATACTCAACTGGGGGTGGTCAAAAGTTTCCTCTCTGGGACAGTTGCTGTAAAACAGCTCTCCATTTAACTATCAGCAAGCTTTTCAAAAGAGGGAATTCTAGTTCAGGATTACATTAACAGAAATGCATGAGAAGTCTGGAAATTAAAGGCGGCATATGAACTGTGAAGAACATATCCCAAATCCTCTTCAGAAAAAAAGACACTATCCTGGCAGGATTTCTTCCACGTTCTAAGTCCTCAGCATTTCTGCTAAGGAAGGAAGCTGGTAAACATTTCCAGACAAAATACTCCTAATAAGACAAAAAAAAAACCTCATTACACAACACAGAGCACATACACTAGAAAAAAGCCAAATACAATATTTTTCCAGTGCCAGAGGCCTACTGAAGGACTGAATTCAAATTGGCTGTCGCTGGGGTTTATCATAAGTATTTTATTAAATCCAGTATCATAGCAGGTTTTGTGACAGGTGCCTCCATCCCCAGAAAAAAGCAGGTTTCACAGTTAAAAGCAAAGCAATCCCCAAGGACCCCCATTTCTGCTGGTCAAAGCAGTGCCTAAGGAAAAGCAACGGTGCTGCTCGATCATGCACCTTTGAGGTCGTAACACTAACACTGGGTCTAGCACTCCCTGACACAAGCTAGTGCCATTAGACTGAGCTAACACTCCCTCTGCTCTGCACATTTCACCCTTCTCCACTCAGTTTCTCTGCCCTCATCAATAGCAAAGCACGTGTCTGGCTGCAGGCACAGCACACACATCATTTAGTCCCTACCAGAGCACAAGGCCTTTAAACACAGGCAAAAGGAGGGCAGCCTTTTTACCCCTGTAGAAGGTTCCAGCTGAAGATACCAAGGGGTTTGGTTTTTTTTTATATATGCATGTATATAATATGTACATGAACTGGAACATACATAAAATATGTTTATATATACACATTAGATAGGTAAATATATAACCACATGTTATGTATATACGTACATACGTCTAGACATAGGTATATAAAAAACCCTTACATTTTTCCACATTACTTAAGAACAAATGGAAACATTATCCAACACCTCCCCCAGAATTATGGGGAGGGGGGGCCAAGCTTCTCTACCGTAGCTCTTTCAAAAGAGGCAATGACACTTTGGTGAACCTCTGTGAGTTACCGGGATGGAAGTTGCTTGCACTCAATCAGATGGAACAAGGGCTGTCCAGGCATTGGCTTATCAAAAGGTGACTTGTTCCAACTGCAACAGCAGTACTGCTTCAAACTCTGCTCCTTTAACAGCAGAGCAAACGGCACAGCACAGAATATCTCTTTCCAAGGGATACATCGTCTGCGTGCTCATTTCTGCTACGTCAATATGAGTCTGCACACCAGCCTGTCGTAGCGTCATTCAAATCAACAGTGTTTGATTTCCATTCCTAATTCCTTTGGTTATTTCACCTTTCACTGCCACCTTCTGTCCCCATGGTCAAGTCACTGATTTGTCCAATTTGCTGATTATTTCAACTCAGATTCAGTAGGTTCTCAGAGCCAAGCTGGAAACAATCCTCCATCCACACAGGCTTTCACCTCTGCAGTTACAATCCCTCTTTTTTTTTTTTTGTCTTGACAATGCCAAATGTGTCTCATTTCCCCGTTTCTGGGAACTCTCAAGTCCCTGCCACAGCCGTCCAACTCCATTTGTCCTGCCATCCATTGCTGCTGCTTTACAACATCCAACGCTCCCAATCCAGTATCATAGTCCTGCACCTGGGATGGAATAATTCCATACCACAGCACAAAGACGTCCAGGCTGTAGCCCACCAACTAGACAGCAGCTTTGCAGGAAAGGACCGAAGGTTCTTAAAAACAGCAAGTTGAACATGAGTCAACAGCATGTCCACACAGCAAAAAGTCAGCCAAATACTGGCCTGTATCAGCAGGAGTATAGCCAACCTCTTAAAGCATTAATTATTCCCCTCTATTTGGCACTTACGAGGCCACAACTGGACACTGTGCCCAGTATTGGGCTACCCTGCTACAAGACAGGCACTGGCAAGCAAGCAGGTCCAGTGGAGAGACATGAAGTTAAGGAGGCTGAAACGCGTGAGATAAGCTGAACAAATCCAGTTGTTTTAGCCTAAGAGAAAGCTGGAGCAAGAAGGAGTCTAACTACTGTTTTCAGGGGCTTCATGGGATAATGCAGAGAACAGAGCCAGACCTTTCCCAGAGGTGCACAGTGATAGGACAAGCAGCAATGGACACAAGTTGCAGCAAGGGAAATTGCTTATATGTTAGGGAAAACATTTCACAAGGAATCCAAGGATAATCTTTTATATCCTGATTTGCAGGAATCTACTATTACCCAAGCTGAAGCAAACACAAGGGCAACACACATTGAAAATAAATTTCTTGACAGGAAGAAGCTGAACACTGGTATTTGCCACAAAGAAGTTTCTCTTTCACCGTGGTAAAAGAGTGTGGTGTAAACCCATTTGGATTATTGTAAGACTAAAGTGTACAGTGGCACATTAGCAGACAAGCCATGAAAGCAAAAGGTGTCTTGCAGCTGACATGTAATGTTTAATATTCACATCTCTCAGTCTACCATTTGACGCACCATAATACACCTTGTTAAAGTGCCTTGCATGCAGGTGATCACTGAAAGATTCACATCTCCATAATCAGACACTTCTGGTCCTGTTTTTTTGCAAACAACAACTTTGACTGTTGTCGAGCAAGCTTTCTATTCCAGCTTTCCAGAAGTGCCTTTATATAGAGTTAGTCAAGCAGAATACAGACCTTCCACTTACAGTTGTAAGTGAATGACAGGAAACATGACAGTTCTTTTTCTGTTATCTTATGATCCATGTAACAATTGTTAAACACCAAGATTTAGTAAATAAGAATTAATGGTGCTCTGTGATAAAGGTAAAGTAACCTTGCACTTTCAATTACCTATCACATCTGCAAACAACGGAGTTTCTGTAATGAAAGGAAACACAGGAGAGCATAAAATGGCCATTAGGAAACTTTCCGTCCATAACTGAGTGCTGGTTGCTGGCAGTCGTTTCGTGGGAGACACCCTGAACAAGTGAATAGCATTGGAAAAAATGAAACTTTAATTTGTTTCAGATGCAAGAGCCAAATTCTTTTTTTTTTTCCCTCCCTTATTTTGAGGAGGAGACTTGCAAGAGACATACAGCCCTGATCCAAAGGAGAGGCTTGTGTGTTACTCAAAGCAGGCATTTTAAAATGTCACGCGGAGGAAATGACTTCTCATACCAGAACAGGAAAACACCAACATTTCCATCTGCCTATTCAAAGGAAATGTAAGGAAGATTAATATTGAATAGGAAAACTATTGAAAGAAGCAGCAAACATCAAGTCCGAGCCCTTGCATTCTCCATAAAGACACAGCAAAGCCTGCCAGGTCAGCTCTGCTTTGCAGTGAAAAGAGAGGATCTGTCTCTAATATAGAAGTACTTCCCAGCAGTCCCCAAAACAAAACTCATCCTTCAAGCACGAACCAGAACGTGCTGGAATATTTCAGTATAGCCACAGTTTCCATGTATTGAGCCGGGCTGAGCTCAGGGGACCTCTCTGCCAGCTTGTACCAACCGATGGCTCGGCTCTCCCATGTTCCCATCCGGGCACAAACCACTGCTGCAGTGCAACAGCTTACATAAAAGATGCAAATAAGGGTAGTGAAGGATGCATAGAAACAAAAACAAATCCAGAAAGGATCGAGGAGAGAAGGTAGAATGCACAACTCCACAACACAAAAGTGTAAAAATGTAGGTAGTTCATAAGGCTTAACTCCAAGGCAATAAAAATGACAAGCACTGGCCTTCTACTAGCAACCATAAGGTAGCCATCAGGTTAATCACTACCAGAGTGAGACAACCCCTCTCAGGTCCTTACTGGGGCCACAGCAGCACACAGAAAGCACATTGTACAAAAAGCCACACATGGGAAAATGTTATTAGTGCAACATTGACCAGGCTAAAAGGTTGGGAAAGAGGTGGCCGGGAGGAAATACCAGCAGAGAAGTCGTGTATCTGTATCAACAGCACAGTGTGTGCTGTGCAGCCGTCTCTACCGAACAAGGAGTTGTACAGAGCAGCAAGCTGCAGGAATATTTCAACACCATCACTGTTAGAGGACTCCTATCAGGCTATTTGGTTATGCTATTTAGCAAGGCAGAGGTGACTATTAAAGCATTATACCAAAAAAGGAATACAATGGAGTTTATTTAAGATTAAATTGTAGAATCCCAGCAGTTAGAGGTAACATAATTTTGAAGTCTGTTAATTTTTTTCTGCTGAATCAGGTTCATTTATTCATAACTGCTGCTATATTGTCCCTTCAGACAAGTCATTTTTCCAGCAGTCTGAAGAACCAGGTACAGTTTTTACCCTAGTGCATTGGCAGAAGTCTCTGTGTATTTAGCAGTTCTGTGTCACACAAGACTCTTCTCATTACAGTTCAAATTTGGGAACAGGACGGTCACAGCTTTTCTTCCAGGCATCCCAGAGCAATTCTTTTCTCTCGGTGCAGATCTGCCTGCTAGAAGCCTAGCCTAAATGTTAAATATCACCCCTGCTCAAATCTACAGTGTTATTTTTGTGACAAAGCAGCTTTACATTGTGTTTCTCTAACGTCAAAAGATGACATACACCCTTCTTGGAAGACAGTATTTACAGGTATTTTCTGTCTAACGAACCAGACTACAGTGGCCTCATCACTAGCACTGGAACATTGGCCTGGCGAGGCTCCCGCAGATGAGATCTCATCACAGGTTTCAGCATCTCGCCGCTTAAAGCTTTTGCGTGAATATAAACTACAGAGTATCGAGCACTTTTCAGCAACAACTTGAGCTTCCGGAAAATCCTAATCCTTTTTAAAAAAATTCCAAAGCCTTCAAGTTTGGAGGAGCCTTATGCATGTGTGCCCTGCACAAATCAAGTTTCCATATTTTCAAGAGCAGCAATTTAACTGTTAAACTCTGGCTCTCAAGTTTGAAATAAGTTTAACCCAAGGCTTTCAAAAAATGCTGTTTGATCTTTGATGAGTGTTGACAGACAGCAGGACGAGAAGGTTTTGTTCCATAATGATTTTTGGGAAGACCCAGCAAGAGAGCAAGGCAGCTGGGTGCGGTATTAGAAGGGTTAAGGAGCCATCTGCTGGCAGCTCCAACTAATTGTTGGACATTTCAATTACAAATTAATTATGTACAGGGCATTTAATTATCCATGGATTCGAACTGTCCAGGGATAATTCAAATGAAGCACTTTTCACAGGGGATATACAGTCTGCACAGTATCTGCCAACAATTTAAATTAGACGCCGATGGACTCTGGGTTTCTGAGCTGTCTTTAAAAAGAGAAACAGCCGGGCCCAAACAGGGTGTGTTGAATTTGGTTGTATTAATGTGCATAAACACCAGAAAAATATGCAGGCCACTTTATGCATTTAAACTGTTGCCTCAAAACAGAAAGCACAGGAATGTGTCTCGTTGAAAGCCAAGAACTGAGGTTATTCATTGTATTTCCGCTTAGTGGGGAAATAAAGGGGACAAAAAAGATGATAGGTGTGACAACAGCGAGCATTCTTCCTTAAGAGTTAAAATGAAAGTATTATCGGATTTAAAACTTAAGACTCCCTTTTGGAGGGCTGCTAACCACAGAATTAATCTCAGAGCCAAATGGGGAATATCTGCACCTCCCTGACTGTAGTGGCCCCGCTGAAAGGGCAACATGGTTCCCTTTGAAGTACACACACACAGTTCAATCATTGCCAACAGCTTTTATAGCCTCTGTAACCTCCTCCACCCTTATTCCTCCCGTCACATCCCACTGCAGCATCAGACACGCAGGTATGGAGAATATATTGCAGAACAGCTACGCAGCTGCCTAGACATCATACAGCTGCATTGCCCACACAAAGCAAAAATATCAGAAGGGGACTGCTCTCTTTAAAGAGCAAACGCACAGCACCTCTTTCCATTAACATTAGCACAGAAGTAACCCTTGTCAGCAGCTGAGGCATTAACAGAGTTATAAACACGAGCGAAGCGGGAAGAAAGCACCGCAATAACAGCAGATTGACAGTGGCAGAGCCTATTGGGGTGGTAATCCATACACACAGAGTCTATAAACTTGAGTAGACAGCATGCCACCAGCCCAAGTCTTCGCTCAGAGGGGAACAGTCTCCCAACTGCCTCATCTCCCTCCTGACATCCTTGCCAGGCACGCACAGAGCGGGAGTGAAAAGTGGTTGTTATCTTCTGTTTCGGAAGGTAAAAGTCACCATCAGAAAGCCCCAGCTGATAATCCGTTCATTAGCAGTGCTGAGTTCAGTAGGGGTCTCTGAGTCAGTTTCCACATGTCACAGTAGATTTCATAGTGGGTGCACAAAATGCAAATGCAGTTCTTTAAGCAGCTGTAGGTTTCTTTCAGCAGCTTAAACTACACTTCTATTTTTCTTTCCAAGTCTTAACTTTACAAAGAACGTCCGTTATCCCCATCTCTGCTATAGGATCATGCCACCACATTACACTACTTCCACCACTTGCCTCCAAAGCCTGGTTACAGGCATCCAGGAGCTAACTGAATTCACCTGCAAGCTCAAATCAGTAGGGCTGACTTGCCTTTTCTGCAGGTGTCTGAGCCCTTGACTCGCAGGATACTCAGCAGAAAATCCCTGAATAAGGCTGCTGCACAGCTCAGTTCAATGAAAGCCACAAGCTTGCCCTCTCAAATATACCTTTGCAGAGGACATGCAGGCTTAGGAAAAGGCCAAACATACCGCTGAAAACAGATAAATAGGGGATAGATTCAAAAAGCATCTGGCCTTAAAGTGGCAGATATTATTGCTGTACAATTTTAATCTGTTTTTTCATTGCAGCTTGTATACTCAATACACTGCTGAACTGAGAAGTTACCCCTTAACTTGTACATGGAGATAAACATTCACATAGCTGCCTAGGTCCACACATCCAGTTTCTGCAGGATTTTCATATTATCTTCCATGATAATGCTACTTTTATTTTTTAAATCCTCATTATGAACACTGAACATTTGAGTTCCCACCTTCCAAAGGAAAAAAGCTCAGTTTTCCTCAAGGAAGCTGTTCTGAACTTAGAGGTACTACTCAACATACTCTAGAACTGACGAGTTACTGCAAATAAAGCGTCACACAACAAAGATGGCATTGTTTCCACTTCGCCCCATCAACAGCACAGCAAACAAGTTTAACAGCCCTCATCTACTATTCTTTTCCCTCTATCATCAATCCATTTTTACTGTACAGACACAAACACGCACTTGGTGCTTTTGAAACGCATCCATAAAAAAAAATGAACTGCGGTGCTTTGAAGAAAGATATTCATGACTTAATTCTTCCTGCACTGGCTGTCAATCAGACACTGAGCTTATGATGTATACAACCTATCGATTTTGTAAGCTTCCTTCCTGGAAGCAGCAGTTTCAACTGGGGAGGGGAAAAAAAAAAAGGCAGGGCTGAAGAATGCTCTCTCTCTCTTGTTACCCGTTGACTCCTCAAGCCATCACTTCTGTTGCTGAGCAAACTAGCACGGCTCCGGGAGCCGCTGGAAAGTGATTAAAATTTGGCAGCAGAATGTCTAAACCACTGGCGTTTCTATAGCAATAGGGAGAGCGCAAGATGTGAAAGAGCCTGTAGCATTGCTGCCATCCTGCTGTGAACCAGAGGTATAGTGCCTCCGACTTTGGAGCCGGAAAGCCCATTTATATAGACCCCCTCCTTCAAATTTAACAGCTTCTGGTTTAATTCTTGGACTAACGCCAAATTAAATGCTATTTTGTAAGCCAGAAGATTGCATACCAGCCTATTTTGCTTAAAAGATTAGTACCCTCGCTTCTCATGCCGCATCTTGCCCGTCTTCCCCATCTGTATTACCCTCGGAAAGCCAGGGAGGGATCCTACGGGCAAGGGCAGCCGGTCTAAAGCTGCTGGCGGTCTATCATTTGCCATTGAACTTCGAGTCCAGGCTTCCTTTTGCAGAACTGCAACTGAATTTGGGTTCAGAAATGAAAGAGAAGCATAGCAGTCAAAATGATCCAATTTGGGTTGGATTCTTCATGTTAGATTCCTAACTAGAAACGGTTTGATTTACCAAGGCTGCTGAGCAGAGCCAGTGCTATCTGTGAGTGCTGAACATTTCTGGAAAAAAAATAAACCAGGCTAATTTTAACTGTTGAAATAGGGATTCAAATGCATAATTATAGGCACCCAGGTATGAAATTGTAGCCATTTTAATCAACTTCTTGCCTTCTCTCCTCCATTTTCTCTTAGGTGGCTAAGCAATTGCAGCCTTCAGTCGTGTGGATTGGAGAGACAGAAAAAATATTTTCTGAAGTGGTGCCGAAGGCTAAAGAGGTGAGTTGCTCCTTTTTTATTTCGGTGCCAATAATTTCTCCTGTTGCATTACAACCGACACAAAGGAACAAGTGTATTTCTTAGCTTAGCACGTACTAGTATGACCAGACCTGCCAAAGCTTGCTTGATAATAGCTTGTCTCACTAACAGTTTTTTCTTTTAAGAGAGTCTTGTGACTTCTTAAGAGCCCCCAAGAGGTTACATTTCTCTCCTACACCTATACTTGCTTTATTTAAAAATAGTCCAGTCAGTGCTCATCAGGGCACTGAAAAGTAGAAGAGAATAATGGAGAATTTCAAAATATGAGGCAAGAAGCTAAAAGTTAAGATGAGCTTAAATTGTTCAGCTCTTAATTTGAGAAACTGGATGGAGCTAAAATGAACAATAAAGCAGCAAGGATAAATTTCCACTGTGAAAACAAAGAACCTATATTAAATAGTTACGTTTACAGATTATTTTCTTTGGACTCCCAGGAGTCCTATTGCCATTGCTTCCATTCCTTCCTCTCTTGTGTAGCTTCCCCGCTAGATAGAAAATTAAAACACTGCCCAATAGGCACAGCAGCTCAACCACCGCAGCAGAGAGCAATTCATCTGAAATCCTGATTAGATTCACATTGCTTGCAAAATATTTTACTTTTAGAGCTCCATGTGAAAAATTAAACCTTTTTTCTTAAGGCAAGTCGTGTACGTTTAGACTGGGGGATGGACACAGGCCCATATTTTGGAAGACCAGTGAAGCATCACCTTGGATGAGGGCTGTATGAGCTGATGGGTGTGCAGTGATTGATGCCTGCTACTAGTCCCCGCACCAAAAGGGAATCTTTCTCTTGGGTTCAAACCTTGACAGCAAGTGCAGATGGGGATTAAAAGTAAAACTAAGGGCCAAATATCACCTGGAGCATTTGTGATCTTTGCTTCAATAGCTACCAGTGTGCAAAAATTTCTCATCCTGCCCACCTCAGAGTCAGGAGTATCACCTCTGCCCCTGCTATTGCATCCCAAGACCTGCAGGTATTTAACAAAGGGTCTCTTGTGTTCTTGGTGGGAGTGGATGGCTCCAGGCTTGAAATCACTCATGTCCAAGATAGTTCACAGCATACATAGCCAGTATTTGGAGCCAGAGAGCATGAAACAGGAGGGACAGGCAGTGGTAACCGGCAGTCTGGGGAGTCTTCCTTAGGAGCACTAGAATTTTGTAGAAGATGAGTTAAGCTCAGCCCTCAGAAGCCAGAGTGAGCAGAAGCCACTTTGCTCATCCCATCGTGACATTTCTGGCACCATGACTGAGAACCCGGTTAAAAAAAAAAAGCAGCCTTAAATTCTTCAAATACCCACTAGAAAAGTAGTCTCTCTCCAGTCCTCCCCAAGGCTGCAAAGGAGTCAAATAGCAAATATGTTATGGTAAGCTCAGTTGCCAAGGATGACGTGCAAGCAGTTCAGCCACTCATAGTTAAACAAATAGGAGTCACCTTCACAATTCACCCTGCTTTTCTCTAGCTCACATTCACATGACAACTGAAATCATAGCTTGCCTCTTCAACATCCTTCCTTGCTACTGACACGTTTCTTTCAAAGTAGAGGAGATATTATTAGCTTTCAGGACATATCCCTGAATTGTGTGCACTATGGATACACATTAGTTTCACAAGCATAACAGGAGCTGCTGGCACATAAATGCCAGTCTGGCTTAGTAGGCTGAACATGAGACTGGAGCATTTAGCTCAGTCTCTGATGCTGGTTCAATCGTTTAAAATTTTAAAATTAAAGATTCCTAGAAGCTGAGCAATGAACACTTCTTGTAACCAACTGTAGATCAGTAGGAATCCATGAATATCATTTGTCACCCAAAAAAAGATGTTCTAAATGCTGGGGATAATTTAGGATTTATTTTCACAAAAAAGAGGTGAAACAGGACACTTTTTCCAGCAGAAAACATACTGCAAGCCCAGAAAACACAACATCTCGCTTGAAGGGACTGTTATTTTCTATCAGTCATTTCAGTGAGATGGGATTCCTCTACCACCTCTAAGCCTAAAATAATTTGATAATTGTCACTTTTCTAGCAATACTCATGGCTCAAAACAGCTTGGAGAACATTTGTACTTCCTTCCAATACACACGAAGAGGAGGAAAGCTTGAAGCCTATGAGTAGCATCAGCTCTATAAATCACAGAGAGTGATCTATAGATCTATACAGAGATCTATAAATCACAGTCAACATAAAATGTGTTAAAACCAAAGTAAATCCACACTTCAGTCGTTGATGTGACCGTATCTCCCTGGCAGAGCAAAGATGGCAAGGTTGGCCAAAACTTCCAAGGTAGATATGTTTAATCAGAGAAACCAAGTTCATTACCAAAAGCTTCCCAGCAAGGGAATGGCAAAGTTTGGATAAGAGCTTGTGATTTAAAGTCGTGCCCTCAGACAGCAAGCATACTCTGAGTGTGGACAGAGCAACATCTTTGCTTTCTGAGCAAGAGAAAAAGCCAAGACTTTGGCCAAGACCTGTAAGCACAGAGCAGACCTACTGTGCTTACAAGGCACCTTCTTCGGGAGCGAGTGCAGGCACCCCGCTTTCCTGGCAGCATTGGGTGCATAGGCACAACAAGGACAAGATGAAAAGATGGCATCTGTCATTGAGTGATGGCCATAAGAATAGTTCATCCAAGAGCAAAAACGTGGACTGGACGTTATCATCCTGACAAGAGCATGCCCGTGCTCCAAAGTGGGACCTAAGACATGCTCTCATGATTAAGCAATGGGCAAATTTAGGAAGACGTATAGTATGACCATGAGAATACAAGAATGAGAAAACAGATGTATTGTAATTAAGACAAGTTTGGCTAGAAAAGAACTGTGTGACTCCGCCCCAAGAATTTTGGGATTTCTTACTGTTTTCCCAATTTCCTCTCCTCCATAGCTTTCGCTCCAGAGAGCAGCATTTTGTCTCCTTTCTGTCAGCTGTCTGCTACTGCAGACAACAGAAAAATTGGATCAAAGATTATACATACAGTGTAGATTCACAGGTGTTTATTATTGCCTTTCAGCTGAGAAGGTTTACAGGACATAGTTTCTTCCTTATTGACATTAAAGAAGGCTGATCTGAAATTGAAGCTCAAGTTTTTCAGGGAGCTGCCTACTATATAGTAGGAAAAAAATATCACAAAGTGTTCTAGGTAGTAACATTTTCAAGTGACTGGCTGTTGGTGACTTGGATGTTAAGTCTCAGTCATTTCTGAAAAGAAACTTCCAAGTCATTAGACTTCTCTGATACACTATCCTAACCCAGTTATTCACTTACAGCTTTATTAACGGCAGAGTGACACCACAGCAATTAGATTAAGCTTCTCCAACCACTATTCACTTTAACATTATCAAACATAACTATCCAATAACAGGTTTTGCTCGAGACTCATCTATTCTGTAAATAGTAGTTAAAGATTTGTTATAAAGTCAAATAGTAAATTATTGCAAAGAAATGAATCGTTTTGCTCAAGACTCATCTATAACAAATCTTTAACTACTATTTACAGAATAAAGTCAAATAGTAAATTATTGCAAAGAAATGAATCCTGAGTTCGGAGAGCTTGGGTTCTCAGGTTAGAGCCACAGCAAAAATTAGGGAGTGTCTTTTTCACATTTAAACCATGGGTAGGAGTTGGTAGACCATAATCTCCAAGAGCTTGGAGGATTTCCAGACTAGGTTACACACCCTGGCAATTTTTCTATCTGTTAAGGTTCATCAGGTGCACAGCTCCAGTATTTCTCCTTGAACTGGAAATCAGGGTTTCCTTCTTTGAGTTGTTTCCTTCCTGCTTTTCAATAACAGGACCAGCAAATTCAGTACTGAAAGGCGCTAGCACAAACCCACAAATGTATAAGCAGAAATTAAGTGTTTACCTGACTTCCAGAAGACAGAAGCTTTCTACTTAGGTTGAGCATCTAGTCTGCTTATACAAAATGCAACTAGACTACTAAGAAAAAAGGATCAAAATCCTGTTGTATATAGCATATCTAGAACTTCACCTCATTAACTCTAAACTGTCAGCATCAGTAACAACTCTTTCCTCCTTTTATTTACATGTACACACTGAAGATGAACCCAAAAGGACTGGAAAAGATCCTCCCCAAATTCCTTAAGGCTTTGAAAGCACAGGACAGAGTGCTGCTAGTGGGAACCACCAGCCATCCCTTCGATGCAAATCTTAAACCTTTCTGCGAAGTTTACCAAAAAATCATTCTGATTTCTAGGCCTGACTACACTTCAAGATATGGCAAGTATTTCAAGTTACCCTGCTGATTACTACTGTTTAAAATCCATGCTTATTGTCTGGTTACCCTCAGAACTGACTTTGAACTCAATTTATACCACAAGTACATCTCAGTTCTACCGCAAAGATCAAAAGTGAAAGTCAGGAGGAGAGTTTAAAATACTGTTCGCAGCAGTGATTAACATTTTTCATGAGTTGTTTAGTGTGCACGGAGTTCAACCTCAAGCTGTCTTTTCCCCTGTGTGAAGGATAAGATCCTATTTCAGTGCACATTTCCTATTTTAAGCTTTTAATTTTCACACAGGGATTCTGATTTTCTGTTATTCCTATCCAGTTTCCATACTCTAAACAATACACTTTAGGGCCTCTCCATACACAAAACCACGTCTGGAGGACTGAGTTTTGTCACTATCAAATTCCATTTTTGTACTTACAGATCATGAGAGAAATTGTAGAGGCATCCAAGATTTTGCATGTCTAGTCCATCAAAGGTTTACAGCAATAGACAGACCCTCCTAAAGTCTGACAGATGCATCGAGTACCCCATATGCTGAGACTCAAAGCTTGTAAGGAAAACAGTGTCTTTCATCAGACCAATTTACACGGCTATAAAAAAAATTGTTTTCAGATTTGAATCACCTTGAAGTCTGCAATAGCTCAACATTGACTAGGAAGCAATGCTCCAAATTAAGCTTAATAACATAAATCAATTACTACAAGAAAAATGGTAGTTTGTCCACATCCTTCAGAAGCAGCTGGTAGAAGAGCTTTTGTTCCCAGAAAAAGGATTTTCTTTTCATGTGGTTTAATCACAGATATCGTGCGGTTTAATACCCTTTTTCTGGGTACTAAGGAGTCTGGATGTGGTTACTGATGGGCAGAAGTGCTGTTTAGGTTCAGTCTAAAGATTAAAAAAAGGGTTTGGGCTATTCAGAATTGCACCAAACACTTCAGGGTTGGACTGTCAATGGTGCACTTCTACCAACAGGCTCCTAGCATGAATATCCCTATTGATTACCACATCAAGAAAAAGAGACTCCCTTCATGCCACTGATCTCCAATAGATCATGTCCCAGAAAAATACAGTAGTAAAGGAAACCACATTCAGTTCAGGGACCTCGCCGCACAATTGTACCTTGGCTACAATACCGCTCCGCATAGTCACCTTACTTCAAAAATATCGTGCAACTCTGTTCCGAAGTCCAGTTTCATTCTGCCTTTCACAGAGTGCACAATTGTACCTTGGTTACAATACCGCTCCGCATAGTCACCTTAGTTCAAAAAAATCGTGCAACTCTGTTCCAAAGTCCAGTTTCATTCTGCCTTTCACAGAGGCAGCCAAGGTACTGAGATGATGCACATTTGGGCAAGCTCAAGACAGGTTTTGACTGCCTAGCACATTGTAAATCTCTCCCACATTCAATAATTTTCATAGTGTGGATTGGAAATGGTCTCTAAGCAAGCTAACATGTGTTTCATATTATGTTACAGCTCTGATAAATTGCTAACAGATAAGGGACATGAATAAGACCTGGAGAAAAGAGGTGATAGCAGCTGAATTTAGCTGTGTTCGCTTCTGGGGATGGAACTGTCACATTTTGGGATTCTCACCACTAATTTGGAGTCAAAAAAGGGGCTAGCTAAAGGGATTTCAACTGCAAACTTAAGAGTGCCTCAAAAAGTTAACTCCTGACATTTTAAAGCAGATTAAACTTGTAGCTTTACTTCTTTGACATTGTCCCATTTAAGACAGTGCCTGGCTTGTTCTTTAGCTCCAGCCTTCCCCTGAAGTTCAGTGGAAGTATGATCTGTCCCATACAAAGCACTCGCATTTCAATCTTGACAATTTTCAGCACCTGACACCCAATTTGAGAACTAAAGAAACTTGTTTTGACAGAAAAGCCGTGACATAACAAATATTCATAGCCACAGCGCACAGCTACCCATCTGCTACAACCCTCCCTTTTGTTACAAACCAGAACATTCCAATCTAAGCACGATGGAAACAGTAAACGTACAATGGAAATCATTAAACTGGAAGATTCACGATCCTATACTGGTTTCTTACTATTAATCACCCAGCAAGCCAGTACCTCGTATTACACATGATCCTACCTGCAACAGAAGCTGCAGCACACGATATATGGCTGCGCAGAAGTAGTGCTCACTGTTGTGTGCATCAATTCCTCTTTTATGAATTAGGGATTCATCCAATAATTACTGAACATAGATGTAATTCAAGTGGAAGATCACAATTTGCCCGAGTGAAAAATGTAGTACAAAGTTGTCAATAGTTATGGGCACAAGTCCATAGTATCGACATTGCAATCGAAGGAAGAATAAGGCAGATTTTCTCCACTACATGACTGCTCCAACATCCAGTACCATTAACTTTCCACCCAAGGTTTTCATACTCCATGTGAGCATTCAAATACACAATACTCAAATCACAACTTGCCTGTCTCATTCAAGAACCTTTTTAACCTCTATGCATAATACTTCTTATTTCTTTCCAAATGTTTTCACGTAAGGCTTTAAAAGGAAGGCATGGTGAAATGGCATGAAAGTTTTACTAAGTGTCTCTGAGACAGACCGTTACTTTATATAAGATAAAAGCATGGTGAGATGGCATGAAAGTTTTACTAAGTGTCTCCGAGACAGACCGTTACTTTATATAAGATAAAAGATGTTATTGTTCCTATAAATTTATTTTTTTGGAAGCAAAAAATCTCAGCCATTTCACAAACATTAAGAAACTTTCATGTCACAGAGGTTCACAGCTAGACGATACAAACAAGTTCACCATTTAAATAACAAGTAAAATACCAACCGCAGAAATTTACCCCGGGCCTTTGCAACATGTGCCTGCATAACTGGAAACCTTTGGCTTCCAAGCCAGACACCGAGTCCCCATAGCAGCCCTCAGTTCAGCAACCTGTGATCAAGGGTACGGAAATATAAACAGGCTGTTAAGATAGGTACTTAACTCCACACACCCACATGCAAACGTTCTCGACAGGTTCTCTTTCTGTGTATACACGCAGGCATATTTAAGTAGTTCTTTCATTCTTACACACATATCCACCTCGCCTTATACGCCCGTAGTGACTTTCTGAAAAGTACTGACTGGTAGCCAACAAATAATCAGCAATGGTTTAAGAACATATGTGCCTAAAGACCTCTATGCTACAAATCCATAGGCGAAAGAAACGGCAAACAAAAATTTTGAATCTTGGCTTTCCTGACTGATATCCCTTATTTTCCTGTTTCAATTTCAAAATGCAAAAATATTCCTCCTGCTTTCCTTAATGCATGTTGTTGGCATTCTCTCTTTTTCCGGATCCTGATGAACAGTGTTATGGAAGCACATCATCCTGCAGAACGGTGGAGCGATCACCAGCTCACTGAACATAAGCTGCCTAGCAAAGCTGTCCAATGGCTTCACTCCGGGACACATCATCCAGGCGGTACAAGCTGTCCTGAGCGAGCTACGTCTCCTGCAGATGACCAGGAAGCCACTGAGGACCAACGAGTTCGTGACTTCCCTGGCCAGACAGGATCCAGTGTACCAAGAGGAGGAAGAAACATTTAAGGTGACATTAAGAGCTATGTTAACTGACTGTCTTTCATCATCCCCTGCTACATCCTTTGTCCAGGCACATTTGATCTAGAGACCTACTAATTCTGCTGATGGGTTGGCACATCACTCTTCGAATGATCATGTATGGCTTAACAGCACCAAACACCCATCTCCTCCCATTTTGGGATGTTTGGCAGCCCAGGCAGCTGGACATGCCAAGCAAACGGTCATTACTACAGGCAGCAACCCTGCATGGGCAACACACCTGGCATACTGCTTTGCTGAACCTCCCGCCCGCACCCAGCTTGTGTTGAGCAGAGTGGCCTTCACATGCCTGGATAAATTGTGCGGGTGCCATTAGTGCAATCCTTTTTTTCAGAGCTGAGATGTTCAGCAACCCTGGCTATATTATCTAAAGGCGGCAAAAAACCTGGACTTGCAAGGTCTGCGGGGTGTTCCACATGGAGATCAAGTTCTAAGTCCTTACTTTAAAGGATTTCAAGCAAGAATTTTCCTATAAGAGTTTTCATTTCAGGGTTTGAAAAAAAATAATATCAGTTTCTGCCTCAAACTCCATCCCTCTCCCCATCCTCACGGCTATAAAGTCCTGAAGGCAAAACATAGTGCTTTTGAGGTACATTACACATACCTCAAATATACATGGATCACCCCGCAAACAACTACTTTTTTCCACATGTAGCTCAGTAATAATGACTCTTTCTTTCTCTAGACTAGGATGATCTTTATGCAGTCATTAATTCTGCTTTCACAGTATTGCTTTTGGTTTTCCTATTGATGGGAACAGTCTATCAGGCTTAAGTACATGTCTACCATTTCTTTATTTACTGTAATGACTTCAGTATAGCTTAGGGGCAACTGAACTGGACTTGAACTAGCTAGTTGAGCACAACACTACAGCTTAGCAGCACTGATGCCCCAGAAAAATGACACAACGCTTTACTAAGACACTTCAAACCTACTAAACTACTAAAAGCCTTGGCCACCGAACAGGAGAACCCTGCTGTGTACCCAGGACTGCAGGCAGCCCACACCAGGGGCTCCCAAATGGGGTAAAGCTTCTGTACTGAAGCCAGGAGACCCCAAAAGAGCTTTCTCAGTCCCATACCCCTCCAGCTTCTAACCCAGACCTACTTAGAAATCATCCAGTTCTGCTGGCTGAAGGGTTTCCTCTTCATTCTGCTCTTTGAATCCCCTCTGGTTTTTAATCCCCACAGCACCTCACACAATAAACAGGATGCCGTTTCTAACAACTTTGTCCAAGTCTTCTTCCACTGCTAACCTAATGATAAGTGCATATTTCTCCCAGCCCTGTTGAATACTTTCCAGTTTCCATTTAGAGCCATTTGGCTCACTCAACGTACGCAGCATTTGCGATATTCGGCAAATTATTCTTTTTTTTCTCATGCTTCCTATCTAAACCAATATCGTTCCTCAGGGAAAGGCTAATGGTTCAGTGTTGCAGCAAAGAAAAAGCCCCCTATCATTCCCAGCTCCAAGTAGTAATAATTTGTAGCCTGAAACATGAGAGCTAGTATTTAGGGCAAGTTTAACTTGAAAATATTATTCCTCTTACTATAAATGTGCCTGTTTTGTGCAGCACAAAGTATGCAGGCAGCACTTCATTTTGAATACGGCTAAAATGATACTGTCCTCAGCATCCCACAGCAATCATTTCCTTGCATTAATTACAGCCCTTAAGAAAGTATTTCCTTTTATCCATTTTAAATTTGTTTCCCTTAAATGTCATGGAACCTTGCCCCAGCACCGGTAATATGGCACAGGGGAAGAGGATTGTCAAAATGGCCTTGTGCATTAATTAACTCCAGTATCTCCATCTCTTCTCGCACAGAAGCCCCTCTTCCCAAGTCTCTAATCATTGCCATCGCCGGACCTTTTCTGTTGCTTTGCTCTGTCCTTTTTGAAGTGGGGCGGCTAAAACACGGTGTTCAAACTGAAGATTAGCGCTGTGATGAATCTTTGATTTCTATTCACTAGAAACATGAATCTCTCTGGTTGACATTTATATTCTGCCAGTGTTCCAAAATGAATATAAATAATGCAAAATTTGTGATAATGTGATTTCTTCACTCAATTTACTCAAATCTCTGCCCCAATTATACATCCACATTTTTGAAATTATAAATTATTGCACCAGTGCAATTGGTACAAATCCTTACACAGAAATAACGTAGTCCTAGAGAAGCAAAGGGCACTCCAATTAGCATGCTAATTCTGCATGGCACAAAATACTTATAACATGTAAGAAAACCCATACCAAAGACTGTGGACATCATTCCTCCAACAAGCAAACATTTTAACTCTGATCGATCACTTACTGTCAGTAACTTGCATCCCAGTTCAGATGCTAGCGCATTAGTGATAAATCTACCTTTTTTTTTAACCATATCTGAGGAGCTGGCTTCAGTAATCCCACACAGCAGTTCCACTCGCTAAAGGGTCAAAAGCAGCCGTTACCGCGCGCCAACAGGCAGGTTAATTGTATGCATTGAAATATATGCACAAAGAAATGAGAAAACAAGGGAAAACATCACGAGTCACTTGGCTCCTCCTGCCATGTGCAGCAGAGTCCTTTATCAGCAACTCAGAGTGGGCAGTGAGATGACCTCCCCCAGTCTGCACCCACCAAACAGCACTTTCCACCCTACCAAGCTCCCTGCAAGCTGTTGACAGGGTTTTGTTATTCTTTCCTTCTCCCAGTTAAGGTCTGGAGAACATTATACCCGAGACAATAAACCTAGGAGGAAAACAGAACTTCTATGGCCTCATGAGTATTCCACAGCTGGAATACTGCATCCAGTTCTGGGCTCCCCAGTTCAAAAAAGAGAAGGAACTTCTGGAGAGAGTCCAGTGGAGGGCAAAGATAATGAGGGGACTGGAGCATCTCCCTTGTGAGGAAAGGCTGAGGGAGCTGGGCCTGTTCAGCCTGGAGAAGAGAAGGCTGAAAGGGGATCTCATCAATGCTTATAAACACCTTAAGGGTGGGTGTCAAGAGGATGGGGCCAGACTCTTTTCAGTGGTGCCCAGCGACAGGGTAAGTGGCAATGAGCACAAACGCACATGGGAAGTTCCACCTGAACATGACGAAGAATTTCCGTACTTTGAGGGTGGCAGAGCACTGGCACAGGCTGCCCAGAGAGGCTGTGGAGTCCCCTTCTCTGGGGATATTCAAAACGTGTTCCTGTGCAGCTTACTGTAGGTGACCCTGCTTTGACAGGGGGGTTGGACAAGATGACCTCCAGAGGTCCCTGCCAACCCCAACCATTCTGTGATTGTGTAATTTGTGTCCTGTCACGCATGCAAGGCCAGAGACATTGCTTGATTACTAGCTACTGCTGGGGAAGTCAATTCCTCCCAACCACCACCTTGTCTTTCTTATCCCACTGATGTGAAGAACCAGAAACAGCCATCTTCAGACCTCTCCTTGCCTCGTCCTGTCCCAGCTGTGTCTGTTCTCCCTGACACAGCAATAGCTTGGCCCTAGGCCATCTTCAGGACAGCAAAATTCAATTGCCCAAGCCACTACACCAAGAGCCACAGGGTTCCTCTCAAACATCTCCCATGACACCATCTAGATGGGGATGCGTGAGAGGTTGCACGATGTTTTGATCAGTGAAGTCAGGGTTCTTAGAGGTGGGGTGCTCAGCTAATTCAGGCAATTAGAGCCAAGATCAGAGTGTTTGGGCTGCACAGCAGCTAGCTGGCCGTTTGAGAGCTGTCAGACTGCATTTAGTCTGCAAGACAAGAGATCCAAATAGGGTGCCTGTCGTCAGCCCCTTTCTGGGACCCTGAGGAAGCCTTTAAGAAGCATGACACCAAGCAGGACCATCTGGGGCCATGAGAGGAACACCCAGGGCTTGTCTTCCCTATGTACTTCCACTACCTCTTCTCCCAACTCCTTCTTTTGCTGCTGCCTGTGACACATACTGGGAAACTGGACAAGGCAAATT